ATAAGTAAAATCACTGTAAAAATGTTCTCTGATAAAGGTATAATGTAAGTCAGTTAAAATGTCTTTGAGTAAACATGTTACATTTTAAAAGGGGGGTGGGGAGGGGTAAAACATTATATGGTGATAAGGTGATATAAACTCAGTTGTCAGTTTATTAGGAACATGTAGCTAAAATTGATGTAGTCTAATACAACAGCCCTGTAGTAAAACCTCCTGCATGAAGGTTGTAATCGGTTTTTATTGTAATAGTTTTAGAGAGTTGTTGATTCAACTGATCATTTTGGAGGATGTAGTGTTTGGAGCTGTATTGAACTGTACAGAGAAGTGTTTCTGTTATTTAGCCTACCTTCACTGATATAAATGCTGTGGACAAAATAATAGAAACACCTGGACACCACAGCGAGAGTCCTCATATAGTTGTAGTTTTGTCTTGGCATATCAGTTCCAAATATGGGTTATCAGTCTCCTTGATTGCTAATAATTGTCTGGGACATTTTTTTTTCTTCTTCCACTTCAAGCACTGGCTATTACAACTCTTTATCCATTACTTTTACTTATTTATTTCACCCATATAGTATCTATCACCTTTGCTAACTATTTAGATTTTCTCACTTGCTAACTAGCTTTCACTCAACTGCATAGGTACCCCCTGGAGTACAAGTACCCCTGAGTGGTATCACTTCCTCACAACATCTTATCCCACATAGGCGTGAGACCCAGAATCTGCCCCAGTCTGTCTTCAATTCCATTTTTCTAGCTCTATAATCCAGTGTCTGGATAGCTGTCAGGGTTTGCACAGCATGGGCGTTCTCGCTGCCTTTCCTCTAATTCCTACCCAAACTGATACAATCCCTGTGTATTTCCTTGTGGGTAATTATGAGATAAAGGTGTGGTGCTGTCTGGGATTACAGCCGAATCAGAAACTACATGGAGATTTTTGCCCTTGATTGTAAATGGATTTGAGGCAGGCTGTCACTTCTACAATATATCACACTTCACAAAGACGTATTCAGCCCTGAACAGACCTAGTGGAGGAAGAATGTATCCCTGGCTGCTCTTGATGAAGTGGGCCCTCATGCTACTCCTGGGCACTCAGACATAAGAGTCTGAGCTGCTGGCAAATGAGACATATAATGAGGCCCTGGAGATGTCTAGCTTAGACTCTATAGCTTTCTCTGCTTACCACCTAACTGATGGTGACTGCCAATCAGCTGCATGGCGAAATAAAGTTTGTTGGCTTCAGTGCAGTGTAGTAGCCAGGCCTGTTGGCTGTGGCATGTTGAGTTCACCACAGTCTCAGAAAATGTGAAGCTCCTTGGGACAAAGAGCCTCTATCCATTTCTAATGGAGATTCCTCCTTTGCTCGTTTTTCTCCATTGTCTCATGCCTTTCACAGTGTCCCACAATGGATCTAGTGTGTCCAATAGACAGAGCTGTGTAAAAGTCTTGGCTATGAAGTTCCACATTAAGAGAAAATCCCAACTTTATGTTTCAAGTCCTAAAGAAGTCTTTTTTTGTCAGTCTGCTGTTGTGCATTAGCAAACACACCTTTCCTTCTATCTCCCGCAATGTGATAGGTCTTTGTCAAGAAGGACATTTTGACATGTCACAGCAGGAAAAGCATAAGTGTAAATAATAGAATTAATGGTTTCTGTCCTTAATGTTATTAGTAACGTCAAAAGTCAAAACGTCTGCTGTGAAAAAAGCCTATAGGCTGATGATTGAATTATATCCCTGACTTGATTTGCCATTCACTGTCGTCTGATGTAATTTTTTTTTATCTTTGTGTCATTTGAAGGCACAAGGCAAAATGTCGAAGCGATGTTACAAGATATTAAAGTCAAGTTGCAAGTCTTTAGTGATTTTTCAAGTCAAGTCTGAAGGTTTCAGTATACTTTGACCAGAGTGCTTGTGGGATGGCCAAACACCGTCTGAATCTTCCCCGCATGACTTCTGACCCTGGAATTAGGGGCGAACAGCATTGAACAATTTCTTTAAATTTCCAAAACCAACAATCGGGCAAGCGTACCTTCTGAGCAGGTGTGTCGAGGTGAGAAGCAGGTTTTCACTCTGCCTTCAAACGTGGTCGTTCATTACAGCTGTAAACACTTTAGCCTTTAGTCGTGATCTGAAGACACATCAGACAGAATACTACCAGCCGAGTCCAGGCTGTATGTTTCCACCCCACACCTCTGCTGATAGGTCACGGTAAGATGGAGGTGACTAATCATATTTGGCAGAAGGGAAAAATTCAAAAATTGTTTCAAAGTGCGGCCTCAGCCTCTTTTGGTGTTTATTACAAGATTTTGAAAAAAATAGATAAGTATCAAAAACAATCCTTTGCACCAACCAAATGAATTAATAGGTAAAATATATACTGGGGATTCTTAATTTACCACATGGATGCATGGGTCACCTGTATGCCACTGTGAAACATAGTCTATTAAATTATATAAAAGCAAAAATAATAAAACTCTTGTCCTGTTTATGTGTGTGCAATGGGTGAAACTGCTTGCATAACAATACAGGGAGAAATGTTTTCGTACAACTCCATGGTTCACTCTAGTAATTTTTCAAGAGTTTTCTGTGAGAGAGGGGAACTTGACTCTTCAAGATGACCGTCCTTGTCTAGTGGCCCATGGAATTACATGAGGAATGACATCATAAATGCAGGGATTTCATGTTCCCAGGAACAAGAGCTGGATAGATACTTGAATACTCTGACCTCCTCCGAGCGACCGCGGTTACTCTAAATCTCCTGACAGAAACCTCAGTTTCTTCGCTCACTTCTTCTCATGATTCTGTTCCCACTGTATTTGAGTTTAGCAACCTAATCTGGTGTTAGAGAGGTGCATCGTCGGGCCCTGCCCTGCTCAGGAGAGAGATGGGTTTATTTGAAATACCGGGAGAGGAATAATCAGGCAGGCCTGAGAACCAGCTAGCAGAAGAATGTCAAAATAAATCCAGTCCAAGTCTCGATCGGTTCGTTTTCGACCTTTTCTGTCTTTTGGTTGGGCTGTGCACCTACCCGCAAATCTCTGTGAAATTCTCTATGATGATCCTGATGGCTTTGAGAAAACACTTCATGACCGAGTGTTCTACAGATATATGTCACCACCCCCAGTCTCTTCGTGTTCACCCAGACACCCACACAATTTGTGCAGTGACTTTGATTTCTATCAGCCTTGACATGCACACACTCGTGAAACAAGTATGAACTGTGAGTTAACATTAACTGGCAGTGGAAGGGAGTAGGCCCTCACAAACGCAGCCAGGCACATCACGCTCCAGCTCAAGAGTGCTTAGCATTTGAAGGGTCCACACTGGATTGTTGTTAATGGGTGACTGGAAGAGATGGACACGACGCTGTGGAAAACATTCAGCTGAAAATGATGTCCTGTTAGTCTGTTCAGAATTTACAGTGTGAGTTAAGTCTGGAACAGAGTGAGCAGATGCCACTCTTAATTTTTTCAACTTTAAAAGTAGAAATCCCTCCAGTTTTGAGGTTTTGACCAATTCAAACTCACTGACGCTTTAAGATTGCAGGGGGGTTATATAGATTTGGGAATGTTGTATTATTTTTCCCATAATGAAACAAACTGTCCAGCAGTCTGGTCAAATATCTTCAACTTTGCAAGCAAAATTTAAAAAAAAAAGAAGTCTGAAATGATCCCTTTTTCCTGGAAAGTTCCCCCCCGTTCATCTGTATATTTCCTCTAAAAAATGTCACCCAGCAGATGAAATGCTAACCAGATGTTAAGCTGCCATTGGCAGAGGGTGTCCTTTAACTCATAATAGCTCAATATCGCACAAGCTACAGCGCTCTGCAGCTCACATATGTCTCAGCTGTATTTGCTTTAAGCTCTCCCGGCGAAGGCAAAGCTATCTCCACTGATTGTATAAGTCACTTGTTTCCGTAAGAGGATGGAAAAATATCACGATCATGCTAGAAAAACAACCATGACATTCCAAAGGAGAGACACGGCCTTAACAGTATATATTTGTGATTATCATACCTGTCTGTAATTTGTAGAAAAATGGCTAATAATCAAAATATGTCTCATGTTTACTTTTGTAATTGGATCATATGCTCTTGGGAGATGAAGAGGTTCCTGCAACGAGTGGAAAGTTACAATATTTAATAAAAATGACATAAAGAACAAAAGTAAGCACATATTTTATTAAACTAAGAAAGCGATATATTGATTTGGTGCAGTTATAAACCACAATTAAGTACAAGTACAGAGTCCACTTTAGCTGTAAAAACACTCACTCAACAGTCGAGCTCTTTACTTTTCAGCTTCAGGTAAACACACTTCAGAAATGCATAAAAATCACAGACAATGTGTCCTGCTTTCATCAATAAATCACCAAACATTAGCATGTACTTACATGTACTTACTTATATACAGAGGTATTGATAAGACGATGAGAAACGCAATGTTTTTATATTTGCATAAACTGTTTGAACGGCACTGAGCCAGCAGGCTGTCCTTGAACACAATAGCCAAGTATAAATATTTTACCCCAGAAAGGTCTTATCTTTGGAAAATGAATTACTTAATACAATTTGTCATATTTCCCTGTATTTTAATGCCAGACTGTGCACACATAATTTGAATTAAACTCAAGATATAATTAAAGATACTGAAAAATTGATTTTATTCATAGTTAAATGTGTATGTTTTTTAAATGCGTATTATCTTTATGTTTTCCTTATAATGATATCGGTTCTATTCTAGCTAGTCCATCAGAATAAAAAAGAGCTACAAGTGAGATGAAGTCGAGCTCATATTTCAGGGACACTTGATATCCTCCAACAACTGGAACCATAAAATCATCACAGCCCAAATTGTGAAAACAGCTGAACTTGGCCTGAAAGTTGAAGCAGATACAGAATACTGGAGCTTTCTGTTAAATATCCAAACAGATCTGTCCACAAACACTTCAAGGCCTCCTGAACTTGTCTTACTTTTTTACTACTTCAAGCTGGTGTACGGCTCACGTGTTCAGGCTCTGGCTCTCTTCAGGGCTTGTCTGCTGGCTCACTGCTTGATGGTAGGCATGTCCGGAGCATTTCTTCAGGTGGATGGGCACCTCTTCCTGGCCCCCGCTTCCTCCTTTCCTAACCTTATCCTTGTCTCGACGGACCTGAGATGTCCCACTGCTTCCTTTCGACGAGACCGTCTGGCCTCTGAACAGCTGTGCTTGCTGCTGACATAGCCCCACCTTACTGAGGAGGATGAATACATCCCCCCTGAATGCTTTCGTAAAGATGGCGTAGAGGAACGGGTTGGCACAGGAGTTGAGTGGGTAGAAGAGCACCAATAAAATTTTTGAGTTGGAGACAGTGATGAGCGGCCGGTCCAGCACTGCTGACATGGCGTAGAAGGAAATAGGCGCCATGCACAGGAAGTCAGTAAAAATGAGGACCGCCATGCGCTTGGCGATGTTGGTATCTTTGGATCCAGAGTGGTAGTGAGGGTTGTGCACTGCGCAGTAGATCTTGAAGTAGCAAGCACAGATAACAAGAAAGGCCAGAACGTTAAGGACCAGCACTGACAAGATGTAGACCTGAGCCACCGTGGACTGGGTGTCCATTGGGAGGCAGATGCTGACCTTCTGATAGCTGCTCACCCCAACCAGTGGAAGCAGCGCCAGGACGAGGCAGAAGATCCAGCCTCCTAGCATCACAGCTGCGGCATGGTGTAGCCGCAGCTTGCGATCCAGCCTCATGGCAAAGGTGATAGCGTACCACCTCTCCAGAGTGATCACTGTCAAGGTGTAGACAGAAAGTTCACTGGCAAAGACTGTAAAAAAACCCGCAAGTCCACAACCGGGACCTGTTTGCCAGTCTATGGCGTGGTTGAAGTACTCGGCCCGTGTGTGGAGGTCCACAGAGGCGATAAGGAGCAGATAAATCCCCATGCACAGATCTGCAAAGGCCAGGTGACACATGAGGAAGCGGGAGACTGAGAGCTTGTAGTGGCTGGTGAGCAGCACCAGGAGCACCACCACATTTCCCAGAATGGCCAACAGACTCACAAACCACACAGACACTCGCAGGAAGCCAAAACCCATTATGTCCTCACAAGGATTGAACTCATCGGGCACTGGTGCACACGCCACCTCCTCTCCCTCCTCACACACCACATAATCGTAACGACTGTCAAAATCTTGGCTGGTGTCTTCTTGGGGGTTCTTGAGGGTCTCTCCAAAACCCACATCCTCATCCGGCTGCCCCCCAAAATAGGCGTGGTAGTGGAGGCTGCCATGGAAGTCACCTCTCCTCCAGTCTTGGTGGGACTCTCTGTGACCTCCGTCGTTTGGCTCCTGGTCTGGGACTGTTTCCACGACGCTGTCCCCCTGGAGGGAAGGCATGCGGAGGGGCCCCACAGAGCGTTTGTGATGCTGGTCGTTGAAAGCAGTCAGGTTACAGAAGAAGTACTCCAAAAAGCTGAAAAACAAATGCACACAAATACACATAAGACTGGCTGCAGTCCTCACTAGCACTAAGAGTACTATCAAATCATTTATATATCCAATTGAAGAAAAGGGATTCCTGTTTTGAGAGTCATTATGAGTCTGACTCAACGTTCTTCCTACAATAACAGCAATGAGTGACACTAATTATGGCAGCGCTGTATGAAGTTATAGGTAAACACGTCAGAGAGTTGATTCAATCCCTGCCAAGATCCACACCATAGAAGTGCAGCTGCCCCACTCACTGTGGTAGCTCATCCAAACACATTACATGAACTGACTACCTGTTTTTTATCCACCCAGGACACACTTCCTAAGATGCCTCCATTTCACTTTTCTGACTGTCATAAGTTTGTTTCGACGAATGCAAAATGAAGAACTGAGACAAAGGCTCACCCTCGTTTCTTTTTGAGGTTTTTGAAGCCGCAGCAATGGCTGGGGTAGGTGAGGTTGGCAATGGTGAGGTGCTTGAAGGTTTTGATAGGTGGCAGTTTCTTGAGGGCCCAGGCATTGCGCGCCTTCAGCTCCCGTAGAGAGTCCATACCTGTGGTCGGCAGGGAGCTGATCCCTGTCAGGGACACGTCTCTTCATGACAGAAAGAGAATGAAAGAATTTAAGAAGATACATTCATAATGAAGTTTGCCCTTCACAGTGGCAGAGTGGCGATGAGAGGAGAGTGGTGGGGAAGCTGGAGCTACCCAATAATTCTTAGCTACATCCTAACTCAAGCCTGACATTAGAGCTTCGTACGTTACTCTGTGAGTCAGTCACATAACACCATGGATACATTAGGGAAAGTCAGAACATTACTTTTTTTTCCAATGTTTTCACAGTGCTGCTCCACTCTGCCGCTCTTCTTCTTCACTGGACCGTACATTAAGTCCATAGTCTGTGAAACATTAAAGTATTTGTTTCGCCACCGGAAAATAGACTGGCAGACAGAAGACTGGAAGGATCACGATACAACCTGCTGCTGGATAACAAGTTAAAAAAAATAACGCTTTGAATTTTTCAAAGGATTATGAAAGGAAAACTGTGTCATTGAGGCTGAGCTACGTCTGGTTGATAACATGCAATTTTTTGCACACCCTCCTCCTATTATATTACACACCTTATTGTAATAAATAATACGGAGCACCACACTTTCATCTAAGTCAAATAACAGCACGTAGTCACCACCCAGCACCTAGTTTTCGCAGATCTACAGAGATCTGATGAGACGAGAGAGCTCACACATGGATTAAACAACATCCTCCATCTGTTTCCTAGAGTGAGCTCCTCACTCCTTCATCATCTTTAAGCAATTACATGTGGTATTTCTCGCGCTCGCCTGTCATGCCAAAGCCAGCTCAACCTCATCGGGACAGAGACGTGCAGGGGATTGACAATCTCACCAACATCCTGTGTGATCCCATTATCAGGACATTCCTCTTATCGGGACATTCAGCTGTACAGCATCGGACACGAGGGGCCAAGGAGAGGCCAAGTTCTCTTGTGCTTTCTTTAGTTTCCTAACCCATTACACCTAAGTCAATGATTAATTTTATTAAATAAAATAAACACAAGCCAAATAATTTCATATTTGCTAAGAGCTCAATTGTTCTTTTTTAGTCCCATTTGCTCTCCCCACTTCTCTGTCCTCTCCTCTCTTTTCCTCTCATGGGGCACATTGTGTAAGGCTGCACAAAAAAAGCAGCACAGAACCTATGAGTGTCAGCCTGATTTTGTCATTCCCAGATGTTTAGCTCATGACCTCAAAGAGGTGACCTCACTCAGGACATGTTACTCAGTGGAACAGAAGAAGAAGACCTGCACACGAACCCTATTTACCTAACCAGACGCTGAGCGGCTCGATTGGAGCCACAACAGCAACTAGATAGCCGTGGTAAAGGGGTTTGGCATCGAGCACCTTTAAAAAAGCGAGCAACTCAGCTTTAATAACCTTGAGAACGGCAAAAAGACAACAGTATCAGACAAACGTCGGAAGTTTCTCCCTCACATGCTTGCACACAATGAGTGTCAGGTTTCCTTCTCCAGCTGTGGAGCTTTGGATTTTTACACTTTGATGATACGCTATCCAATGTCGCAGACATGTCTCATCCAGTCTGCACATTATGAATGGGGAAACTGTTGACATTTAACTTGACATGATGTAAGTAATGTAATTGCCAAACTAAGCCTATTATTTAGTGATATAAATACACTTCCAAAATGGTTTGCTATTTGTAAATTTGAAATCTATTATTGAAATAGTAATTTGCAGAGTTAGATGAGAAGATCAATGCCATTTTCAGGTCAAAACATGACATAAATGGATGTAACTCACCTTTTTGGATTGTGTGCAATTATGAGCAGTCGATAAGAGAGGCTCAGAGTACTCGGGTAGTTCAGGTACTTACAGAAGCATGGGGCCGCTGATGGCGCCCGCAAAAGCCCTTTCATCCATCTTGGTCAAATACTTATTCCTGTGAAGGTCGCTGGGACAGGAAAGCAAAAATTTAAGTTTATTAAGAGAAAAGTTATCCTTCATGTTTCAGTCAGTCTGACAGGGGCGAGGCGTGGCATAATATTTTCCCAAGCCTCATCACTGCACATTTCTGTGTTTATTTTCTCTCATTTCAGGGGTGAAACATGACAGAAAAAAAGGTCTCAATCAAGATCAAGTTGTTGATTCAAATTAGATAGTATAAGATGCGACGGCATACTCCTTAAACATACTGCACCCTCAATACACATCTCCCTGAATCCCGTAAATCTAATAAGGATAATAGACTTGTGAGGGATGTGTTTTTCTTGGTCAGGCTGCGCTGGGATCAGTTCTCCCCTCAGAGCGGATCAGGTGCCAACACAAACACCCATGTGGTAAGACTCACTAGTCACAGACCAATGGCTTAATTAGGCTCTTAGAAGGACCCGGGCTGTGTGTAGGTGTTGTAAAAGAGGAGAGGGGCTTTAAATTAATATCATTAATACCTCATATCCTGAATATGCAGGACCAGGCAGTGACAAGAACAGAAGAAAACTCGTCGAAAGAGAAAAAGGAAGCAATTCTTACCTATTCTCCCCTCACTAACTCATAATTTATCCTTGTGAGGCTATTGAATATACAAGTGTGAAATTGTTTTCTACAAGTCTGACACAAATCTAGGGTCCAGTGTCACCGAGTGTATGGGAGAAGGGGGCTCTTAATGCAGACTTCCTGATACCCACTTTTGGAAACATATTTTCCCATGAGAACTCCAGCTTGCTAATCAAGAGCTGGGCTTAAGCCCTTTTTCAGTGCATATGAGAAGGCCCATAGAGACCCAGCTGTGATCCTGCTGCTTTTGTAGTGTAATTTTGGGAAAGGAAATACACATGCCAGATGTCAGAAGTGGTTTAATCCAGGCAAAACACTGAGCAACCAATTTTTCTGAGAAATGTAAAGTTTCTAAATCGACAGATACTACACCAGATAAAATAAAATTGTGTCTCCAGAGTTGGATTTTTTTATTTTTATGTTTAAACTAAACGATCAGCTGATGTGCGTCTGAAACTGCTGAACAAAATTGTTAAAGGGATAGTTTGACATTTTGGGGAATGCTTTTATTTGCTATCATGCTGAGAATTACAAGATTGATACCACTCTCATGTGTGCACAAGTTAGCTTAGCCTAGCCAGGCTGGAAATAGGTGGAAATAGTTAAGAAATACTCCAGGACAAACCCTTTATAAAACAACTACCAGTCGTTTTTACACTTAATTTTTTCTATGGATTAAACAAACAAGCTATGACGTGTTAATGAGCTTTAGAAGCGCTGTTTGGTGGATTTCTGTTTGGACAGAGCCGTGCTAGCTCAGTCTTTGAGGTAGGCTAGTTAACCAGCTGCTGGCTGTAGCTTCATATTTATCATACAGACATGAGACAATGGTCTCATCTAACTCTCTGTATGACAGCAGCATTTCTCACAATGTCACACTATAAAAAATAATGTTTCACAGAACAGAAATACCATCAACCTACACTTGATCTAGCTTGGTCCCATTAAAGGCATGATGTTGGATTTCTCTGAAACCATTTCCATACAGCATCCTGGAACAAAAAAATAAGTTTAAACAAGTATTTTAGTAGAATTTTCTTCCAATCCAGTGAATAAAAATATTTCCCATGTGTTAATGTTTCATCTATTTCCATGCAGCAGTGACAGAGATAAGTGGGATCTTATTTTACATTTTATGGTGAGGTTTTGTGGTTTTTAGTCCAACATTTTCTGTAACATGCCACTCTGTGTATTAAAATTGCAATCCCTCTATTTTCACTCCCAAACCTAACCACATATATGTGATTGCCTGTTCTGTGTGAGTTTCTGTGTACTTGTTTTTGCTATCAGGGAGATTCAAGTTGGTTCAAAATGAGGACATGTTTTTAAAGTGAGGTCATTTTGGCCAATCCCTGCTTCTTCTAGTGGCTATTTTAGGGTTTGGGTTTGATTTAGGGATAAAGGACAAAACCAGTCTTACGGCACTCACTTTACTACAGTCTATATCATATACCGTTTATAGTTTGCATTTACTTAACACATTTTTTGGTGAGAGCAGTTTGTTTTTACATATACAGTATGTACAGTATATACAGTATGTGTGTTACATGTGATATCTTACACTGTCAGCACATCACTGGTGATGCCACGGAAAGAGTTGGCTGGGATGTCAGTGATGTAGGGATGATCAACAATTTCCCTGCAAATGAAGGCACCAAACAGAGAGGAAATGAAGTGGTGTTGTAAGTAAATACCTTTCACTGGAAAATGGCATAGGGAGGAATGTAGAGCTGATGAATGTATGCTCAAGTATTATGGCTGGGTAGGAAAATTAAATTAGATAGAGCAGCTGTCTGAGATGGTGATGACAGAGATGTGACTATAGATGTAGCTCATTTCGTAGGGACATGGTGAAGCACACACACACACACACACACACACACACACACACAGAGCACAAACTGCTCATGTAGCATTTTATATAACACAATCAAATTTATGAGGTGGCGTTGTTAGTGGTAGCATTTCTCAAAATTGAGACCACATTTCCCATAATCCCTGCTGTGTTGTGTTACAAACTACAATGTTGCTATTTGTCCATCCTTACATGGAATACAAAGGAGAATAAATATGTAAGACGTGATTTTTTTCATTTCCCTGTCATTCCTTCTAGTTTATTACATTGTCAAAATCATAAAAAAAAAAAAAAAAAAAAAAAAAAAAAAACACTCACTTTGTAGTGGAGCAAAACATCCATCTTCCTGTCCCTTAAACAGTGTAAAGCATGGTGCAGGAAAGGGCTGTTAAAGGCTAATTACTTTCCTAAAAGAGTCATGTTTGTTTGTTCTATTATACGAAGGACAGATGTTAAAATGCTAAATAATAAATGTTGACTAGTGTGCTCGATTTAAAACGTGTAAGGTTGCAGTAACTTACAATATGAAGTTCATGTCATTAGAGTGAATGTTGCTCAAGTCGGGGAAGAAAGTAAGGCCGGTGTTGAAAATCCCCCTGAACAGCACAGAGATAGAAACAGTCAGGATATATGCAACAGAGATTACAGGGCTTTGCAAAGATGTGATGCATTTTATTGCTCGATTATTAATCCTCTGTAGAATTATAACACATAACAGTGTAATGCAAAAATATAGTGAGCACTGCTAGCATAAATACAGCCCCAAGATCTTATGTCGGCTTCACACCTAAATACATTATTGTTCGGACTGCATCATTTAAGAATTAGCTAGCCCAATTTATTTAATAGGCAACTTGAAGGGTCATTGTCAGATTCTGGCTTCTTATAGGCCAGCGCTTCTTGAAAAGAGCTTAAGTAATGGTGGCATCTCTCTACACTAGTGAACTCTGGCCCTCTGGAAGGAAACAACAGCTTATAGTTGTCTGCCTGAGTCAAGAATTCACATGAGATTGACGTCTTTCATTCTTAGGCCAAAAATGTTTGATTTAATCTGTGTGTAGAGCGTGCAGCAACTTTTCTAAACTCAGCCTGTACCACTGCATTAAATTCAAATGAAGCATGACTCAGTCTTGCCCATACTGACACACACAATTCTATGAATAGATCACAATGTCTAAATTATTACCAGGCGTAAGCATTTTAAATCTACACCCTCGTCCTTTTTGGGTTTCCATAATGTTGTCAGTATGTGGAATTCAATGCCAATAATGGTATGAGTTAAAAAAAAAAAGAGTATGCAATGAAAAGTACTCACAGGTATTTAAGGTTTGGGAGATTTTTAAAGGCTTCTGGGTCGATGTAGGTCAGACTCTTCGCATTACGTATCTCTCTGGAAGAACAAACAGACAAGAAAGGGATGCACTGAAAATATTTTTACGCATAAATATAAACTAATTGAGATCATGAGTAGAGGACAGAAATGTTTTGACCATTACAAAATTTTTCAAAGAAACTACACACTGCACAGTCTTAAAACCTGCTGACAGAAAATAGCAAGGTGCATGCCAGTGTGCAAGAGAAAGGAAACTCAGTGCAGACAGCCAGGGCCGGAAGTGGCGTCCAATTAGTGTTTCATTAGTGTGTTTACTCTGGTCCACCCTGTGCTGTGCTGGACTGAACACCTCTCTCTGCTGTCTGAAGCCATGTGGTGCGCTCAAACGTGTGTTCTGGCCCTTCTACACACACCTGGCAAACCACACTGAACAAAGGAGACAGACGTGGTCAGGTCAGTGGAAGTCCCTGAGTCTTCCCAGTGCTGCTGTGTAAAAACTAGGGCTCAAACCAAAAGGTCAATCACACAGTGTCAGTGGGAATTGGATTTCCTTTTACTTGGATTTTCTGCTGATAGAATTTGTGTTTCTGTGTGTGGTCCTCTTTGCTTTGTTAAAGTTCCTCACCAGACATGTTTTAAAGTATGTAAAAATAATCGGCTATGATTAATATTTTCCCACATAATATGTGAAAAAAAATGGAAAATTGGGGCTGGAACGCATCTACACTTACTTCCTCATTGAGAAATTCTGGATCAGGCCTTGTGCCCCGCCCACCACTGCTGCTCGTGCTAGGTTGACCGGTGAAAGAGCAGAGAGTATCAAGATGGTTAGCCAAAATCGGCGACTAGCAGACATATCAGGACGGTTAGCATAAGTTAGCATCTTTTTTTTATTTTTATTGTTTGTTAGCTTGTAACTGGCAGTGGCTGACAGTGTTAGTGACTGTGCTAATGCAAACTCTTGCTCTCTGTACTGAAAACTGAAGGTTTTGTGTTTATTTTGCCCGTCCCCTGACCCTGCAAGTTGATGCAATTGGTTCCTCAGGTTTGTGACATATGAATCCCTGGCTATCTGAATCTGTTTTTATGAGACTGTCATTGGTTCACTGCAGTTCCAAGGTGGAAATACTCAGTCATGGTGTTGACTGGTTATTTTACATGGATATGTCTTGTATTAAATAATAATAATAAAAAAAACAGCATATGCACAGGTTAACAAGGTTAGGAGGGGGTCTTTAAGTTTATCATATTAACTACACATCCATCCTTACTAAAAAGTAGAATCAAGTTTGTATTGCCAAGATAATCAACACCATCATCATTGGAAAAAGGTCTATGTGATGATGACAAAAATGTAGCAGAGACTGTTCATATGCAAAAAGGGTGTTGATCTTGCTTCTTGCTACCAGGGAAAGAGTTCCTCTCCTGTTAGCTCTGGTTTGGTCTCCAGCAACTCACCAAAAACACCTTTTCACTGCAAAATGCTCCACCACATTCACCAGCCAGTGACTAACTTTGTCTACCTGCTGTTTGGTGCTGTGCAGTATGTTTATCAGGGCTGCTTTCAGCAGCTTGAAATTGGGTTGTTAAGAAGATTGAACCTCAACAGTTAAGTTAAAAACCAAGACAGTGATCTAAAAGATACAAAACAACCCCAGAGAGTGGGAGAGAAAGAAAAGAGGGAAATTGACTCAAGTGATAAATCTTGATGGGTTTGTCACTATGTCACTACACTTTTCACCTTACTCAAAGTTATTTGACCCATTGTTAATAGAGCTTATACCTGTAAAGATAAAACATTATTTCCTTTGTGGCAGAGTGTTGAAGTTTTTAAAAATTGTGTGTGTATAGATTGAATCATTATTGCAATGTATCATTTGCCAATAGAGCACTGAAACTGAGATTTATCTACACCACAGTGTATGAAAATATGTGCATTTTTACTTCTGTATATATCTTTTAAAAGTGGTGGTTTCATCGATGGCGGCACAATACAAACTTCACCAGCCACCCCTCTGAATTTTCAGCACTCCTCGATGCACAGCTGCTGTCGGCCTCAAGCAGCCAACAGGAAGCAGAGCATTAATTTGTGTCTGACCCTGAAGGAAACCTGAGAGAGATGCCATTTTCTGATGTATGGCACTACACCCCACCAATCAGTGGCAAATAGGCCCCAGAGATCCAAAATACACCCCCAGAACACAGATACAACCCACAGCCAGCGGTTTGAATTATCGTTTCTGTCTGTATTTTGATATCTGGAATTAGGAACCAAATAAAGACAGAGCAAAGGGAAGGATAATTAAGATAAAAATGACAGCTAAATGATATGCACATATGCATCAAGTCATGTCAAATGAATGTCTGTGGCTGTTAATCATAGTTACGGTCTAAAACGGCTGCACATGCCCACATTTTATACAGTAAGTGAAGAGTGGAAACAAATTGCGTACACGCAAACTGCTGTGTTACAAGATGCTGTAACTTGGAACAAATCATTCACATAGGCAGGAAGTCTCGCAGTAATATATGAAGTGCTAGGAGGTGTTCTGCTGGAAAGTGTGTGGTCCACCCGGAGACTCAGCCATAAATCTCTATCCCATAATTGAGAATAGAGTGCACCTTGCTAGACTTTTTTCCCCTGAGCTCCTTCAACAAGAGCTGGAGTATGAAGAAGACGAAGAGAGAAGCCAAACACTGGCTGCTGCTTAGCCTCTCTGCTCTAACATGCTCAGACCGGGCTCTGTAATAATGCAGCAAATACATTCAGATAATGAGTTACTTCATTGAATTGAATAGTTTCTTATCTAATTTGCAATAAGTAATCCCACAACAGGGTTATTTTTTCAACCTCATGAATTGGCAAATCTGCTCCGTACCACTCTGATGAGGAGCAGTAAGTGATGTGCAGGAGAGAAATAAGTTTCTAATGTGTTTCTTCCACACTTCCATTTGCTGCCGGCAAGGTTCAAAATTAAGCATTTTTCTTTTCAGAGAGCAAATGGAACAGCTTAATCAATAAAGATCAATAAATAGCGTACTCTTTTCCTTTAGGTACTCACATGTGGGTGATTTTCCTCAGGTTGTAGAATGAGTGTCTCTCCAGCCTCTGCAGCTTCACGTCCACCGACATATATCTAAAAGAAATAAACAAACTTACACCAAATCTAATGCACAAATCATCTTTGCAATATCTAAAATAATGAGTTTTCTTAACCATCTGTCGGATTTTTAAGAATGAAAAGTACTGTGCAAGCGTGAAACTGAAATATAAGACCTGTTTTCATAAATGACTGTAAGTGTGTGGCTCTAAAAATGATCCCAAAGTCTGCAACTCTTTCCTGAATTTATCAACCCAAAGTGTCTCCCAAGCCCCCCTAAAGTCACGGGCAATTTTAAAGGTATGCACCTCACATATACATTACCTCGTCATCAGTCACTCTGCTCTCACTTGTTATTACTTGGTAACATGTATGCTCTTAAAATAAACCATGAACTTAGCACTGGATTAACTGTAAAAATGACAAAATTACTAGAAAAAAAATGTATATTCTGTTTACTTATAGTTATTACTAGGCACTTAATGAAACACACCTCAGTATTCACAAAAAAGAGTTTGTATTTGAGAATCTGCTGACATTTTATACATATCTGTATCTGGACAGCGAACAAAGAGTCAGTGGACACACTGGCTGTGAGCACTTGTGGCCATTTGAGGCTTACACAAAACCTCTCATCCACCATCTCCGTCTCCCTTCACGCATGACTTGGACGCAGACGTCAGACTCAGCGGCCGAGGATCAAGGCTCGAGTGTATATTTTACCTCTACACAGAGGAGACTCCACCTCTACAGGGAGTCTACAATCCCCACACATCCAAAAAGCTCTGCTGGAATACCTAGCCAATGTCCAAGCCCCACTGCGGTCGAAGGACCAACATTCCTGATGAAGGAACGCATTAGTGCTTCCAGCTGTGATTAGGAGCCAGCAGTGATACTAAACAGAGAGCATATCATCTGCTTGGGTGGGAGACAAAAAGGAAAAGGGGTGGGCAGCTGGGATAGATTCCCACTTTTTAGGGAAAGGAGTCGAAAGACAACAGGTGGATGAGAGCAACTTTGAAGGGTCTGTGAATAGAATAAATTTTGATAAATCGACACTCACATCCTTGAAATGTTGACCATGTTGGCAAAGACATCTGCTGGAACAGCTGACAGACGGGTCTCAAAAAGCCACCTGGTGAAAAAATAAGTATGGACATTTTAGTTGTCACAAACACATTTTACTCTGAATAGCATCTGTTTGTTGGACTTGACTTTTTTAGCAAGTTGTTCTTGACATTTCTGAAGGAGCAGCTTGACATTTCGGCAGAAACGCTAATTCACTTGTTGCTGAGAATTAGATGAGAAAATCAATACCATTTTCACATCTGTATGGTAAATACGTAGCTAGAACCAGCAGACAGTTAGTTGAGGTTAGAACAGAAATAAAATAGAAAAGATTGGAGACATGAGGAACAGCTAGCTTGATTGAATTGTTTTTTTTTTGTTTTTTTTTCATACAAACTAAATAAATTCAATATGTGTTAGACAGTGATTTAGAGGCACTGTTTTAGATTTTGTTTGGACTGAGCCAGGCTAGCTTCTTCCTACTATTTCAAGTCCTTATGCTAAGCTGACGTCTCCTGGATACACATAGCTTCATTTTAAATACAGAGATATGCAGGGACACACAGTCAGGGAACCAGGCAAATGCTTGGGGCCCCCAAGGGGAAAAGGGGTCCCCGATGGCCCTTCATACTGGAAAATTTTGCAATGACATCTACAAACCCCCTTAAACCTCCCATAATGACACCATACTGTTGCTCCAAACCGCCCCCCTAGGGGGGCCCTGGATGATGTGTGCTGTAGCTAACATCTACCCATTTACTGCATGTGAGGCATCCAGGGGACAATGTAAATTGTAGTGTCTGCCAGAAGTCTAGGTGAGCGGTGGGGTTCTTTGATGGGCTTCTTAGCTTGGGGCCACCTAGAGTTTAGGATCACCACTGTAGATATGAGAGTGGTATCAATCTCATCATCTTTAAAAATTTTGTACCTGGAGATTTTATAACCCATGGAGAGTATAATGACCTTCACTGTAGCATTGCATAAATGTTTAATATTTTAATTGTGATGAAAGTGATTCAATTATCAATAACTAAATTTCACATATAGAATTTGTGTCTTTATATTCCAATATCCAATCCAATAATCTAATAATTCCAGACAAAAAGAGGTCTAACTGCAAAAAGAGAATGGGACAAAGTGTAAAGAAAAAAAAAAGAGAGAAAAGGGAATAACACATAAAGGCCCAACACTGATGAATTTCAGTGTTAGATGAAAGGTTTCTTTGAAGTTAATGGTAAAACAGATCCCCCTATTCTAGGAACAAGGGAAGAAACAAAGACTTGGAACTGAATGGACCTGATCTGACAGCCAAATCAAACAATGTCTGGGCCTGCTTAGGACAATGTTTCAGAAAGTAAGGTTAAGGCCTAAGTATGCGATGCACACCTCCACAATAAGGTTTAAGTTATGAGACAGAAAATATTTAGAATCTGATCTGTAAGTCAAACTTGTTAGCTTGCTGCAAGGTTTTGCATAAAAGGAGGAGGAAAAAAATTGTATTTCCAAAAAAAGAAATAGCTTGATATGCGGAAATTAGCTTTCTTGCTTAGAGTTATATGAGAAGATCAATACCACTCTCATGTCTTTAAATATGAAGTTGGCAAGTTGGCAATAGCATTGCAAGAAGGCTGGAGGTACGGGTGAGCAAGCTTTGTCCAAGCTTTTAAAAAAAAATGTACTTCTAAAGCTCAGAAATTTACATGTTGTATCTGTTTTGTTTAATCCATACAAAAACTGAAGTGTAAAAAGGACATGTAGGGGGTAATGTGCCAAACTATTTCTTGGCAGGGAGCCGTAAATTCCTGGAGTGTCTGCTGGCTGTCTGGCAAGAGCAAATGTCGTTTTTACGGAAGGGTTCTTGTACAGATTTACCAGATATAATGTGTTAATTTGTGAGCTATAGATGTGCTATCAGGTGGGATTTGCTACCTTTGGAAAGTGCAGGCTAGTCCTTGATTCCAGCCTTTGTGCTTGTTAAGCTAGCCTGCTGCCGGCAGTAGCTTCATACTAAGTACACAGTATAGACATGAGAGTAGTATTGATCTTTTCAGCGAACATTTGGCAATAAAAGTGCATCTCCCAGAATGTCAAGCTTTTTCTTTAGAGTACATTGTGGGCTCTTTTACCTCATACGTCGCTAGTGAAAATGTGTTGCCTCTTTCCTGTGATCTTACTACAGACTTTGTTGTGGTGGATTTGGGAATCACAACATAATAATAGAAGAAAGAGATTAAGATGGTATCCACATGTGTTGATGTCATATCGTATTCCAGGATGCACTTTGTTCCACCGCATCCTGCCTCAACTAGCAAACAGTATGTGTGTCCATTTGGAAACAGGTATAAAAAGGGACTCAGCCAAAGCCACCATCTTCATGCACCTTTGCTTCATCAGAGGAACAATAGACTAATTCAGAGGTTGCAGATCTGGCCCAGGAGTCTGAATCACGCTCATGTGGAGGGAAAAGTGGGGTTTGAGTCACTAAGTAGACACCGGAGCACGGCACCCTGCACACGCTTTGACAAACTCAAACAAACAGAGGGACACAGAGCAGACCCTGACACCAAACACCCCTGTCAGAAGCATGCTGTTTCGCCGCCCTGCTCAAACCCAAATAACCAGCATGCATTTTCCCTCAGGAGCAAGTGCGAAGAGAGAAGACCAATGAGTCGATCTCGCGGGCTTAAGGAGAAAATTACTCCCTCACTTTGTCATTTTGGATAGAAACCCAAGAAAACAAACAGGTGGGGAATTGAGTTTGAAGTGGGGAGAAGCCACATAATTCATAATAGTGTCAACATTGGATTGACAACATAGCTGTGTTTACTATGGGCTCTGTCTCATTTTGATGTGTAATGGTCTGTAGTGACTGGTAGAGAGGGTCAGTTACATATTCAACCTGCACTTTCTCCAGTGTGATTCAGTGTAAATCTCCTCTCATGTAGAAATGCTGTCGTTACAAGAATCCTTAGTCTTCTCAGTCCGAATGAACGCACACTACCAGTTAAGAGGCAAAACAACAGTATTTAGGACAATGAATAATTTTTGTTTAAAGTTTATAAAAGATGACATTCCTGTTTGTTTTCTCATATACACAGGAGGTAATTATTATAGAACGTGAAGTTATAGTAACAATTTCCATTACTTGATCCATTGGTACAAATTAATAGCTGGGAAACTGTCAGTATTTCCAGTAATCTCAGCTACAGCTCATCATGTTCAAAGTCCCACTTCTTATTTTACAATTAATCCCAGTGCTCATCTGTTACCATTCAGGAAACAGCATTAGAATTTCACTCTTCAGTCACTTTTTTTTAGATGAGAGGTTGAGGGACAACGAATATCACAAGTTATCACGTTTTAACTCCAATCCAAAAATTCAGAGGCTTTTGAAAGACGGGAACTGCTGTGTTTTTTTTCCACGTTTCCCTTGAAGTCTTTTTTTTTCCTCTTAATTATTCTCAAATGGAACTCTCTGGGTGTTTGAGAAATGTGCTGTAAAAAGTAAATATTGTATTTGAATGCATCGTCCAGACGCAGCCGGGAGTCACGCTACGCAGGCTTTTAAGCATGTCTGTGCTTTCCTTTCCACCTCTCTGACTCCCAGTGGCGCATGGAGTAACCTCCACAAGTACACACACACAAAGGACTCCAAACTCTAAGTATCCACATGTTCATACTCACACACAGACACGCACAGACGTCTGCTTTGCATTCACGTTTTGTTTTGTGAATAGAATGTTTACACATTTTCTTCCACAAAAGACAGCAATAAAAGAATTAGTGCAGAAAGTTTTAAAGTTTTTGCCCATGATAGGGCAATTTAAAAGAGATTTGAGAACACAAACTTCCGTCAGAGTTGAAAAAAGGTTTGGGAAATATGCTTATTTGGTTTGTAGCAGAGGGTTAGAGGAAAAGACTAATACCACTCTCATAAATATCTGTATGCTAAATATAGTTCATGCTAAAGCCAGCAGCCAGTTCCATTAGACTTAGCTTAGCAAGAAGACTGCAATCAGGGGAAAACAGCTCAACTGGCTCTGTCCAAAGGTAATAAATTTCCCTACCAGTGCCTCTAAAGCTAACTAACATTACTATCAGCACTTTCTCTTTATGCAATCTGTACCAAAGCAAAAAGTGTAAAAACAATTCACCAATTTCACAGGAAGGTATGTCCTGGACTGTGCGTCCCTGCATCCAGTCTTTGTGCTAAGCTAAGCTAACCAGATGCTAGCTTGTCATCCGAAAATATGTAGCCTATCAAAAATGTTGAACTTTTTAGAGCCTGTCAAAATCAAGTATCTTTCTAAGCTCAGTCAGTGTCTGAAACACCAAACCTTGACTATAAAACTATTATGTGATTTCTCATCGGTCCATTTCATGGAACTTGTCATGAGGATTTTGAGATTGTTTGCTGACAGAAAAACTAATGGACCAAATCGAAGCTCCTTGGCAGAGATAACAATCCACAAGACAAAAGGCCAATAGCACAAACAAACTGACAGCCAGAATCAGTGAAACTGGACCCCACTGGCCTGACCAGGGCAGCAGGGTCATTCATTCCTCAGTGTCCGTACAACAAAACCAAACTTCCTTACGCCTCATCTGCTAGAACATCCCCCTCAACACACAGTCTATTTTGGGATTATTTGGCAGATATTTTTATCAGGATGGCGACAGGGCAGCGCTTGGTGGCATGCTTTCATGTCTTTCTATTGTCCTGGAGGGCTCTGGGTAAACTTTGGGCAGGAATGTGAGGAAATCGTAGGGGACATAGGGGCACGTGCAGACGTGAATTGGAGCAGTGATCGGGAGATAATTTTATGTGATGGGTGCTGTTGGAGGCAATGCAGAGTGGTGTCTGGGATTGAAGGATAGAGGGATGTTCCAATAAACTGTAAGAGAGGAATGAGGATTATCATAACACAGCGCAGAACCCTCTCCTTATCTTACTGAGCCCTACATCAGTGCTTTAGAGGAATTTTGTGCAAGAGTAACAAGTGTTAAAACATACTCACAATGACAATGCCAATGCCAGCAAAACTTCTACTCATCATATATGTTTAAAATAGTGTTTGAAATATTAGAAAATGTTCCAACTTCCACAACATCATCACCACAAGTGCAGTTTGTTCAAGGTAACATCTACTGTCTGAGTTATCATTCAAGAATACTGATTTAAATGGAAATACCCTTTCTCACTCTTCCAGCTTCTATGTTTCCACATCTGCCACAGAGTCCCTGAAGGGCATGTGTTTCCATCACTCAAGGCCACGGCAAACTGGTCGCGCTCTATTGCATAATTTTTTCATCCTGTATTTAAGCAATTTAGGAAGTGTAAAAGCCCTGATACATTTTTCAGAGGTGACCCTGACATATTACATCATGTCGGCTCCCAGGATCCTTGTCAGATTCTTTGGGGTCTCAGATAGCAAGATAGCAAAAGTGTATCAAGCAGTTTGGCTGTAAATTAGTTCATTACAAGTACGGTATGTCTGTATGCGAAGGTCAAAGTAGAAACTGAATTAATTTAGATGAGAAGGTAGGATTGTTTTTCTATTTTCCTCACTAAATGCAAGGGTAGTAAGGTGTGGTGAGCGCTACATTTAGTAATGAAGCGCATCCCTTTTTTCCAAACTGTCTCTTATCTACCGTCCATGTGTGAAGTATGGGTGCTTTGCACAAAGATCCAGTACCCTGTAGCACAAACCCAGTGAACTGGACATCTCATCCCTGCCTCTCTTCTTTCTCTCTTTTTCTCTGCCTCTGTCTCTTCCTCCACCCATCTCAGTTTCTCATACAGTTAACTCATGACAGCACAAATACTCAGGGGACATACTATGTTGATAGTAGTTGTTTGAAGTGCTAGGAGATGCTGTTATAATGCAAATTTCTATGGCTAAATTATAGATGATTAAACATTAATCATGATACACCTGTGACCAACACACCAACCATTATTAAGTAAATCAACTATATATTCAGCTTTTCAGTTACATCAGGGGGCTATATGATTTCAGGTTATAAAGGTGGGCTAATGGTTCAATGGATCTTTTTGATAACATGCTTGAATGAATTATTTATTGCAGTCATTGCAGTCATATTATCCCAATATTAAAGTACTTGAAAGTTAATCTTCATGAAAAGAATTGTAATAAGTTCAGTATACTTTTAAGATGTTTAAAGATTGGCTGTATTTCACACTAAATCAAGAATAAAATCCTCACTGACAACTTTGGAGTTAGCAATCTTAGCAATCTTATAATAGACAAAAATAATACCTTGAAATGGAATAAGTGCTTAACATCACAGACAGCCTCGAAATCCCTGTGGGAACACTTTGAAGGAATATTCATGATATAATGATTTTTCCTCGGGGTTAAGAGCACTTTACTTTCAAAATACAGGGGAAAAAAAGACAGTAGAATCACTTTTACAGATGCGTTTTTTACGCCTACTTACAGTGTCTCCGTGCTTGCTGGAAACCTGGGGAGAATATCAATGTCAAAGCAGGAGATGGTGTGAGTCCTCCACTCAGAGCACTCGCAGACAGCAGGGCAAGAGTCAGCCTCCGACACGGAGCTGACAGGGAGAGTGACGAGCATAAACAACGCGCATGTTATCACCTGCATGCTGGAGAGCTGCCCGCTGTCAGTGTCGCCTCAAAATATCCTTCAGACTGACTTCTTTGTCTCCATCTGATGGTCCTCTTGATGTCCACCACAACAAATATGTATATCAATGTCAGCAAAGTTCTCTATTATAGACTATGATGTTTGTTTTAGGTGTATAGGTTATAATCCTTTGGTAGAGACAGTGGAGCTGTACTGGACTGTGATGTTCAGTTTTCTTTACAGGGCCCCAGGAGTTTCTGTGAGGTTGTGAAGGTGGAGATGCTGTAGGACGGACAGCTGCAGCTCGGTGGTGGGTTTGGAGGTGGTCTTCAACTTGAGGGGAGGGTGGACTTCTGAGGCACTCTTGTGTTAGACTTGAGAATAGTATTTTTCCTTTTCCCCCCCTTGAGCAATGATTTCAGATCTTGTATGTTTTGTTCTTTTAAGTAAAATATATATTTCACATACACAGGCTTAACTGTAAGTCTTTTATACATTATTCATCACTCGTTGATATAAATTGTCCTATTCAATATATTTCATAAACGTAAAGTGTTTCAGTATATTTAATAAGTCTATATGCCCAATATAGTTCTCTTCTCTTTTCTATTTATTTTATTATACTCCATTATTAGCTATGTCAAGTACACGTCGGTTGACATGAAATTTCTAGGTCTATTCTAATCATTTTTCAATAATTTACTGACTTATCTTGCTTTTTCTTTTCTTTTTCCCTTCCTCAAAGTAGAGAGAATCGACCTTTCCTGTCCTCTACGGTACACTTTTTTCTTTTCTTTTCTTTTCTTTTCTTTTCTTTTCTTTTCTTTTTCTAACTGAAGAGCGGCACGACAGGCGCAAACGCATAAAACTTTGGACAATGTAGTTCACAAATTATAAATTCCCACACTGATCCATTGTGAACATCCTACAATTCCCGGCATCCTTTGGAGCTGCCGCGCTCTGTTATTTTCCTGTTCAGACGCGGCTAGTTCAAGTTGCCATAGCACAGTGAAACTGAGGGTTGTTCTTCTGTTAACTACCACTCGCAAAGCGAAAAACCAACGTCTCATTCGTAATTTATTTAGAACGATAGCGTGTATTTCCTCAGTTTCCACTGGACTTATGCAGTGTTTTGCAGTTCTACGATATTATTTCAGGGCTAAATTACTTGGCTAACGTTGGGTTAGCTAGCTTACGTTCATAGTGGTTGCCACTTGTTGCTAACCAGGAGGAACACCACTCGCAACAATGCTCAGGACTGTGATTGATTGGGAACGGGACCGAGTGAATTGTAGTGTTTTGCAGGTCAAATAGTTTTTTAGCATCCACCGGTTGTTAAGGTAACGATGACAAAGCTTTCATTTCCGTTTGCTATGACAAAAATATCTATTGTTAAGAAAGTTCAAAACCACCCCACTTTATTCGTTAATCTGATTAACGTTAACAGTTAGCGTTTTGTGCCGACGACGCTAGTGCTGGCCACTAATCGTCATATTCGCCTAGTCAGCGGTTTTTCGTCGCCACACCCGCAACCTGTCCAAAATTATGGACACAACCAGCGAATCGGATTCTTACGACAGGACGCCGGGAGACAGGGCTCGGGGGCGTGAAGCCCATCGCAGACCTGGCCGGGACAGGGGCAGAGCCAGTGGGAGTGGAGGTGATGATAGAGCAGTAGACATCTCCAAGAAGATCAGCACCCTGGCAAACACTTTACAGGTACTCCGCTGTGCCTCATGAGACAGATGCACCTGCATGTTCAGATTTCATCCATCAGCAAGTACTGAAAATTTATTTGTGTTTTGTAGCCTTACCTTACCACCAAGTCAAGTATTCTGGCTGTGCCAAAACTTCCCTATACACTCTAAGCACATTTTGTGTGTATATATTTATTTATATTGTATTGATCCCTAAATTAATTTCAGTAATTGTTAACTGATATCTTCTTTTCTCTGGTAGGACACCAGTAGAAACTTGACCAAAGTAGACCGGATGCTGGGCCAGTACAGGGAGCATACAGATGATCAAACTGAAGCCATGGCACTGGTGAGACACCTGTTCTATTATCTATGTATTTATTTCCTAAAGATGCAGATGGTAGCACATATAGCCATATATTTTATTAGATGTTAGGTTTGCTTCAGATGCATGTTATTGAAGTACTAAACTGATACTTATTGGAGGTATTTTAAATAAAATTAGCCAGGATTAAAGAAACTTTAGACAAAATGTCACTTTTTCTCCAACATTTGTCAGAGAACTCTAACAGCAGCACAGGACAGTGTGAGGAGTTTGGCAGTTTCATAAATCCACATCTTCAGTGCATAACCACAACACTTCAAGGACAATAACATACCAGTCTTAATGCAGAGTAATACTATTTAAGGGATATCACAGTCAGTTATCACATTGTTTGTTCAGTGCTAGGCCTGCACAATATGCAAAAAACATTATATTGCTATAATTATGGCAGATTTTTTAATGTCTTTGACTCCCCCTCCTCTGTGTCTCCCCTTCCAGTTGTCATCTTCAGGATGTGATTTTATTTAGGAGCTGTGTTATTTTCTGTTTCCTTGGTTAGTCAGCCCTGTGTGCTTTTTTTTTCTGCACCAGCTCAGGGAAAACCTGGAGGAGTCAATCAGTCAGCTGCAGACACAGAGGTTGATCAGATCCAATGGGGCTCGAAGTGCTTCAGCTTCGGCCTCTACCCTGCATACCAGTGACCTGGAGGCTGGCTCAGGGTCAGGTATGGAGAAACAGAAAGGCTTTTGCTGACAGATATATTATGAGTGAGGCTAGTTTTGGTTGGAACATACTGGCAGATAACACAGAGGTAAAATACAGATGTGAAAGCCATAGAGCATCTTAATTATTTGTTTGTGTTGCCAACTTTATTCTAATAAATAAAAACAGTAAAACAATCTGCCTCTGTGTGTCGCACCATTAGCAAGTTGTGCAGTTGTGAACATTTTTTAGAGGTTACAAAAGGTTTGACTCCTGCTTTATCATATTGTTTCCAGAAACAAACACTTTATAACATCTCTACATCTGTGATTTTAGAGGGTCAACGTTTCTACCCCACCTCTCCACTGAGGGAGTACACAGGCACTCAAGCAAGGAGAAGGAGGTCTCAGTCTGCGGGTGTTCGCTTCAAGGACTCCAACCCGAGAGCAGAGGATGTAAGAAATGCCGACAGAGCAGTGCTGCTTGTTACTTCATGTAGTTTCAGAAAGTTGCCACAAGAGGGTACGCTGAGTTTGCAACGTTGATATAAAATTTGTTATTCTAATCTTGAAAAAAAAAGGTCCTGATAAGACTTCATTAAAATCAGATATTATCCATGATCTATGCTTACTACAGTGGTTGTTATAAATGTGCATCTCTGTAAATGCAATCATGGCTAGCTCTACTTTGCTTTGCTTGTGTCTTAAGATTTGTATCGGTATGTGTTTGTGGCTGACTCCCATAGATTCATTCTGTACACCAATCCTTGAGGGATTTGCGTTGTGACCAGCAGAGACTGTCTGATGACCTGGATAGAGAAATCCTAAGGAGGAATAGGTATCTGAGACAAGGGACACAGAAATCTGAAACGGTGATAATTCGCAGTAAAAGATGCTGAGATATTTCTTTCAGGCTTTACTAATGTAGTAAACACTTCCTACATCCACCCACAAATTTTCTACATTAACTGAGGTCTTGCCTCTGTCTGGACCAGTGCAAGATATTGATCTTATACTTTTCATGTCTGCTGTACATGAAAAGTTTTTTCTAGAGCTTTGAAAATAAATGCATGGATTTCAGGTCTTTGAAATCTCCTTGATGAGAAAGTGATAAAAGTGTCATGGGAAACTTAAGGAGATGCAACTGCAAAGTCAAAAGGCGGCAGATCTTTCCCTCAACATGCATTAAAATTTGACATTTTGAAGTTATTAAAAAATCTCTCCTTCCAGGCCTGCTGACCAAACCAAATTGATCTACCACCATATTTCCACATCTGAAGCTGCATAATTAATTTTAGTGACATCGCATTATGTATTCACATTTTGATCAATGATGTCCTGGAATAGGATTTTTCAGAACTGTCGAGAACTCCGCTGTGTAAATATGTTCAGTCTGCTGGATTTGTCTGTTTTTTTGTTTGTTTGTTTTTTGTAGATCTGAAATTGACACCAGGCGGGCTATGGAGAGCCTCACAGGGCACATGACAAGTTCTCAGAGACAAGACTCAGTGAGTTGTGGCTGTGTATTTCACTATCAATACTTCAAGTATGCTTTCTAGCGGATGCATCCTGAACTTAAGGACATCACATCACAGTTATTGATGGATGAAAGCTGCTGTACAGAGCATTGAATATGCAAATTTTTTTTTTTTTTTCTGATCAGAAAACAGCTACAGAAAAATGGCAAACTTACTTAATAAAACTCTAACTTTAGCAAATGTTTCAGTATAATTTCCAAGCACATGGCTCCTCAGTGCACCATCACTACTGTGACAAATATGCTACTTCAAATGACAGCCAACATATTTAATATTTTTTATCTTGTCCTGTCTGTGGATGTGACAAGATAAAGGTATTTACTGTCTCATACAGGTGGATGTGATGCCTCCTGATTAGACAGCGAATTCTTGCATCACAAATGTAATACTTTCAGTCAGCTCTGAAAGATATTTTTGTCACCCACCCTTTTAATTTCCTGTTGTCTCATTTATCATATCCTGCTGCCATTCCTGTACTGGTGATGTTTGCGTGACCTGAAGCATCCTCCATCTGACTGTGTGCAGGTGTCGGCTCGCGTGGAGCGGCGTCTGCAGGAGCTGGAGAGAGAGACGCACGCTGATGAGAGGAGCATGGAGAGAGAGAGAAGGCCTGAGCAGCGGGTGGCCATGTCTGACGAGCTGCAGGAGGTGACACTCCTCCCCACCACTCATCTGCTGCGATCCCACTGTCACATACCTTTCTGTTGACACTCATGTTCTCTCACATTCAAAAAGAGAGCCAAAAAAATCTAAAGGCAAATGAAAGCAAATAAATTCATAAATTGATGACAGGGCAAGATAGAACATAGTTATATTTAACTTAACTCATTTATTTATTAAGGACAACACACATTAACAAACACACAGAAGCACATAGGACAGTCAGAATTTTACAATTAGGCTAATTGTCACAAAGGAGTGTGAAACTTTAGCCTTACAAGCAAGTACTAAGGAAACACGTTGACACACTCATACACTCCATAAAAAAAAGAATAAAGCAGGCACACAAGTCAATCAACGGTAGACATCACAGATGATATGCAGACCTAAAATACACTAGAAAGACATTGATTGACAGAGCAGATTGAAAATAGTTCAAATATTATGTTGTGTCTCCAATTTTTCAACTTTCTAGAAAAAATATCGTAGGTTGTCAAGTCTTTCAAATTAGTTGGAGCATTCGAGCCAAGTGATGCACAAAGTGTTTTTCAAAAGCGAGACCATTAAGTACTCGGTTTTTTGTCTAAGACCTTAAAAGCTGGATTGGAATTCTGTCCCTTGAGGATGGTTGCACAGGTATGAGACCGACTGGTCAAGTCCTGCTTCTTGGGAGAAGAATGTTAGTCATGCTCTCTAATACTAACAGGCAGTCAATGAAATTGAATTTTTGGCCTCGATAGCAGTGTCTATTCGACAATCATGGTCCCTAGAGGACGAAACCTGTTGACTTCTTATGATCTTCTGATTTTTTTTTGTCTCGTGCCACCACAAGGTCAAAATTTAAATTTGTCCAATATTTTGGTTTTATGACCAAACTTCTGCACAACTAATAATATTCCGAGCCACTTCAGATTTACTTTGTTTTGTGCTAATTGGCAAATGTGAGCATGCTAACATGCTAAATTAAGATAGTTAATATAGTAGACATTGCCTGCCAAACATTAGCATTTAGCTCAAAGCTAAAGGAGAGATTTAACAGATGAAGTAAAGCGAAATAAAGTCAGTGGACTTGCAGAAGGAATAAATGCATTTTGGTTATTCTTGAGTAATAATAAAGACCACTAACATTTACACAATTTATTAAACCTCAGTTTTCCAGAAAAAAAAAAGCCAAAAGCTGTTCTGACTGCCAGCATTGGCCAAAAAGATTAAAAAGCAAGTGTGGTAGTGTTCAAAAAATGACTGCTGAAACATTTTTCAGGTGTTCTCTGTTGAGTAGTTATTCCTCACCTTTTGAAAAAGAAGTCAGAAAAGATGTCAACCAAAACCTCTAATTATAATTGGTGGGATTTTAATCTTCCACACAATTAAATAGCAGTGATTTATGACTGTGGTGACAAGTGTTATCCATAAAATTATATTCACAGTACATGTAAAAAAAGAAATTCTTAATTTCTCTGTACTTGCTGGGTCGCTGTGTTTTACTGAAAGGTTTTCTCTCCATTGTACTGCCTTCGTCTGTTGTTTGTTAAAGCAGCGCTCCCACTGAGTCACCTAGCCCTCTTGCTCTGCTTTATGAGACTATAAAGTACACCTAGGCAATTACTTTGATGCACTGCAAATGTTCGCTAAGCAAGCAATTACAACTTTTCTGTATTTCAAGCCAGTCGTGTGTTTTTTTTGGGGGGGGGGTTTTAGGCATGCATTTGTCTAAAAGCATTAATAGCTGAGAGAGCTCTGTCATTAGGTGCACTTTAGTGATGTAGACTCATAGCTAGATGCACTCAGTATATGCCCACAGTCACAGTAAAGAACACATTATCTTGTATTATTGCTCTCTTACATTGCTACTTTCCATTTAGCCACACAAATCATTCATATTATACATCATCAACATAATGTTAGTTCATATTTGAAATAACTGAACCATTCATTTCTTGGTTACTGGTGTGGAGGACAGTGTTTTGTATAAGATAATCAGTGTCTTGGCATCTGTTTGTTTTAATCTCTCATGCTGCAGTTTATTATTAGCCCACAGAGGGTCACTGTGTAGCTGTATCCAGACTGATAACCTTCCGGGGCTAGACTTTTCAACATACTGTGTAATGATGGTAGCTACCAATTCATTTGCATCCCTCTCCTCTGTAGTGCCCTAATGGGACACCAGCAGGGCCTGGGGCGGTGGGAAATAATGCATTTGTCCAAAAATTAAGGGTAAATAAACAAGCTTGAGGAAATGAAGAGGAAAATAATCTCTTTTACTACTAAAGAGCAGGAGAGGAGGGAGAGCAGAGGGCACATTTATTCCCCACCGATGGGCCCGCTGTGATGTGAATCAAATAGATGATGAGTCACTTGGGTAGCTGTTATTGCTAGCAGCCGGTAATTCATCACCACAGCCTGCTCAGAATGAGTGGGATTGAGTGGGATCTAAGCTCTTGTACAAATCCACCATGATGCCAGTATCTTGTTCCAAAAAGACGGGATGGGGGTATACTGTGATGCAATAGTACCTCTCATGTTGCATTCATACAGTACTCGTATATGTGTGCTCTCATAATAATACATGCTGTATCCTGTTTGTGATTGTGCTTGTATTTTGTAGATTTTAGGTAGACACCAAGTTCAATCCCATGATAGAGAGGAGGCCATGACAACCAGGTTGTTGAAAGCAGAGAAGGAGAAGTCCAAGGTGAGGGAATTTAGTCTTAAAGAAATAGAAATCCTCTGTGAGTTAGTTATTAAAGTTTGCCATATAAAAGTTCCTACCTCATTTTTCCAGCATCATTTTACTGAAATTAGCTGCTTAGGTAGTTAACATTCAAAGTTTTACCAAGGCACCTAGTATATCAACACTTTTTAGCTGAAAATTAAATTAAAGTTCATAATTAAATTATTTCATAATTGTGCCTTAACTCAAATTGTATACATTCTGAACTTGTAGATTGTATATGCTGCATACCTAATGATATAGTGTAAGAGATCATTCTGAAGCTTCCAAGAGAATCAAACTGCTGACTCCACATTAATTTAACACTTGATTATTTTGTATTGCCCTGACAGTCTTGTTGTTACGCTCTCCTCAGGTGGAGAAGGATCTGGAGAGAGCTAGAAGACTATTAGAACAGTCAGAGGATAGCAGAGAGTCACTTGTTCATCAGGTTTGTTTGTGGATGCTGTACATAAATCCAATATAAACCCTCTGTGTTGTTCATTTTTTCAGTCAGATGTCTTTCTCTTTGTGTCTGCTCACATGGCTGATGATCCCCAGGTGGAGGGCATGCGTGGTGAGCTGTTGAGGACGAGGAATGAGAACACTGAGCTTCAGAGGGCCCGGCTGGAGACTTCTCAGCCCACCGCTCGGCCACATGGCAGCCACACTGACAGGGAGGAGGGAAGAGGTGGACTGCGGGGGCTAGGTACTGAATTTAGGTCTGGACTCTGGAGATGAGGGAAAGGAGCATAAACAGGGCTGAGAGGATTGTGATGTAGGTGAAAGGGACAGGTTAAAAATTGTTATGCCAGCCCTGTAACCCTAGCTGGCAATACATGTGTTTTTTATTAGTTTCTCCTTGAAGAAAAACTTCACACAGTACATATGCATTGCCAACAGCTGGATCAAAATACCCTTTAAAAGTGGGAGACAGGGTGAATGCATGGCAGGGGGAAGGGAGCGGCCTGAGATCAGATACACGGCCAGCAAGGGTTAACGTGGAGTGTTGGTCAGAGGACAGAAAATTGATTGGACTATGGTACAAAAAGAGAAGAGAGAAAGAATGTCAAAGTTATGACCAGAAAAGGGAAGAAAATTGAGAGAAGATTAGAGAAAAGTATAGAAAATCTTACCGTTCTGTGCCTTACTTTATTTTTTATAATGGTATTGATTTTAGGGCATCAGTGGGCCTTAAAAGGCTTGAAAGTGACAGATTATCCTAGGAGTGTCTCAACTTGTATAGTATTTCAATATGCAATAGAGATTTTCAGATGATTTAGATTATAGATTGGATAAAAGATGGTTCATTACTTCATGATAACCTCATTGAATCATCATGAATACTTTGCTTATTGCATCTTTGTTTGTTGATATCATACATGGAGAGTCGTGCATCATTGACTTCTAGTATCACTTTATTTATACTCTGTTCATGTCTATCAACTATTGTTCTGCCCAAAGTGACCAAGTGAAGTGATTGACAGAGAAACATGCATAGCAGGTAAAAAGGTGAAAAAAGAAATTAGGGTAAGGTTAGAAAATAATTCTAAATTCAAATCTGCTTAAATATTTATCTTACTCATAAAATGTTGCCAAGGCTTGATATATTTATTCCTCTTGTTCCCTAATCCATCACTTTCCTAGTCACTGTGTTCTACTTTTCTTCTCTCCACCTGCAGTAATCAGCAGTTTGATTATGTGTGTGCGTGTGTGTGTGCGTGTGCGTGCGTGCGTGTGTGTGTGCGTGCATGTATATGTCTTAGATCGTTCAGACCTAGAAAAAGAAGTGGCAGAGCTGCGAGTCCAGCTGTGCAAGGCCTCCGTCCTGGGTGAGGTTGAAGAACTGAAGAGGGCTTTGGAGCGTAAGGAGAAGGAGAGGGTCCAACTCAGCTTACAGGTGGAGGTGTGTGTATGAGAGAAATTGTGTCACACTGGGTGTTCATATAAAACAACGTGAGCTTGTAACAGCAGTGGTTCAGAGAAGGCATTGCGTGTCTTTCCTCAGTCATCCATTTGGCTGTCTTTGTAGTATGCTCTAAAGAATAAATGGGAAACACTGAGGAGCTCTCAGCTGGAGTGCAAATGAGCACAACACAAGCTTGACTTTGACTTTGCCCATGTTGCCGTCTCCACCCTGAGCAGGGTTATTTCAGTTTGTAGGGTGCCTCTCATCCGTGGTCGCATCCTCCGCCAACTCCATGCCACTTGATCCTCTTAAGATCGTCAGATGAAGTGACAGTTGGAATAGGAGATCAGAAGTCAACCAGCAGTCATTTATCCCTCTCAAACTGGTGCGATGTGTCACTTCCATCACTGTAACAAGACATAAAAAAAAAAAAACTCTAGAAAAACACATCCCCATGCTAAGCGGGGCTAGTCAAGGCTATGCTGGGTATCAATAAAATGTTAGTAGGAATTGCTGCACTTTAAGCTTTGGCACATTGCTCTAATCTCTGATGTTTCTTTCATTGAAAATGCGTTTAAACTGCCACGCTTCCCCTATTGCTGAGTAGGCGTTAAAAGATAAAGTGGGTGTTTGCATGTATCACCTGGGGCGTCTCTTAGGGTTTTTATGTCTAGATCAAAATAGACGTCTGAAATGTTTCATTTTAATGGTAAATGAGCAGAAATGAAGTACGATGAGGAGAATGGCGTGGAAGATTCAATTTTTCAGTCGCTGAATTTATATACAGTCTAATAGGTCTATGACTAATCAGGCTATGACTAATTACCCCTAACTGATTCAGTATAAATACCTAAACGGCACCCGGATAACCTTACCTGCCCTCACTTTAGACTTCAATCAAACTTGAAACTTCAAAGTGATTGAGATTTTTTTGTGGATATGAAGTTAATCCAGTGCAGCTCTCCTCTCCGACTACTTTTCAGACCAACATACCAGATAATCCAATTGTAAGCAGCATGTAAACACAGTCTCAGTCTTCTTTGACCTTTCTGTCTTTGTCTGCTGTCCTCTTCTTTGCTCACCATAACTGCCCTTTACTGTTTATCTTTTCTTATGATCTATCACACTTTTTTTTTTCCTCACTTCCCTTCTTATACATCACCTGTCTTCTTTTACTTTTTTCTGGCATATATTGAATTCTCACCCCTGTATGACCCCCCCCCCCCCCCCCCCCCCCCCCCATTAGCAGTAGTACTCACACAAGTACACTCACATCCTTGACCTTTTCCCTTTTTGTATATACCAGGAATTGTCATCAGACCTGGCCCAGCGGGAGCAACAGCAACAGCGAATGCTGGAACAGTTGAGGGAGATACAGGTATTTTGATTGGTTACTGCAATTCATCAGTGCATTGGTAATTTAAATCAAGGTCTCTAAACAAGGGGTGCTTTTTGTAGTGGTAATTTAAATTATAAACATGCTGTGTTTAAGTGGCTTGTCTGGGCCATAACTCAATACAAAAATGACGCTGTAAAGAACTACAAAACTAAAAGTTGCAATAATGAGATCCTTCAGAGTTAGGCCTGTGAGACATTTTAGGATCCACCACATGCTTAAAAAACACTTTCAGATTCAGATTATGAAGAATGAGTGTACACTTTATTCATAAATTCTCTCATCCTTTCAGAGCCGAGGGCAGGCAGAGAAGAGGGAGACGGAGGCATTACTCCAGGAGAGCACAAGGAACAGAGATGAATTGAAGAACAGGGCCCAGGAGGCTGTGCGCCAGTGGAGGGCAAAGTGCAAGAGACTGCAGAAGGAGCTGGAGGAGACCAGGGCCCAGACTCAATTCCATACTGACAAGGCTTTGCAGGTCAGTTGAGGCTGATGCATTCATTACACAAGTTTTGACACCACCACCTACCTACAGTAGCAGCTGTGACTAAGTAACTGCTGATCTTTATAATGTTGGCTATCTTTCACATAGAAAAAAAAATCTATCTCAACAACTCAGTGGGAATCTAATGGCCTGATCTGCCTTATTCTGTTTTATTTCAAAATATTGCTAATGGAAGGAATGAAGTGTAAACCTAGGAAATGAGCAAAATTATCTCACCGTTTGCTTTAAAAAGGCACTCAACCGATTTTACACGTGAATTTCAGTTAACTTGTTATGAAGAGAACTATTAAGCTTGTGAAAACAGTTGTATAAAGTGGCTGCGGACAGATCTTTCAGAGTTGAAAAACAACTCTGATGAAGTCAACAGGCTTATCTCAGCTTGAGCCTGAGACTTTTTTTAACAGGAAGTCTGCATTACAGACCAGAGGTGTAGGAGGCAGGAGGGACGTAATGAATTATGCTATTGAGTTGAATTGTGGGAAATGTAGTATCCAGTGTTTTTGGAGCTTGACCCTTACAAGAGACTAAAAGTTATGAGGTCTCTGTCTCTTCTCCTTTGGTATTTATTGATTTATGAAAGTGCTGTACCAGACCAGTGCTGTGCCTCATTAAAGCAACATTTTGGATCTAAGTATAAGTCTATATTTATGGTAGATGCAGACTATTAAAACTAAAACCTCTTTAGCGCCAGTGATATTGACAAAAAACTTGCCATTCTCCTGTTTAGAAAATATTAATATGCATTGTGTATGATGTACTTGATGGTCGAAGCCTCTGAAGCCTGCAGGAAAAATGTACAAACACATTGTGTATTGCACATACAGTAACAATATAAAATAAACAAGCTTATGCATTTGATAACAGGCATGCAGAACTGTGCTTGTTATTGTACATTACCTAGAGTTAAACTATCACTATGCCTGTGCCTGCGTAAGCAAACTCAGTTTTTGCACACTTGCAACAGAATCCAGCAAAAGTTATTGACTACGTATCGGTTGGCTCTGTCTGAAACGCTGCTGCTGCTGCTGCTGCTGCTTGCTGAACCAGCAGCGAGGCATCTGGCTGCACTATTCGCTACAACTGAGCCTCTGAATCATCTTTGTTGCATTTTCAAAGCAGCAGACTCTGGCTCGTGCTTAACTGCTTTGACTTTGACAGCATGTTCTAAAAAGTGAAGTAATCAATAATGTCTGTACTATAATGCATTTCTCGAGTTCAGTAGTAGAATGATTTCTGGTGCCACCCCAGGCAGTGAGGATAAAACAAAACTTCTCTCAGCCAAACTCTCCCTTTAGTTGTGCAGCCCACTGATGTCAGAATACATTAGTGGGTGGTGGAAAGTTGCTACAACTGACTAAGTGATGCACAGAATATTGGTACGTATTGTGGAAATTATAGATACGACACCACAAAAATGTGTACTCTGTTACGCTGGTGTTATATGCCAAATGTGTTTAGCAGCTCCTTTGTTTCATTTACATTATGGAGATGTCTTCCATACTACACAAGTTCAGGCCTCTATTCATTCATTCTATTATTTCAGAGAAATAAATTAACACCCTCACATCACCAGGGAAATACAGAAATTGAAATATTTTTCAGGTCCAAGGCCTCCAGTACCTTTCATAGTTGAAATGGGCTGGAAAATCAGCAAAATCGACACCTTTGAATATAATGATTGGGAAGGGGCGATACAAATAGATATCCTTTGCAGTCCATATTTTATGTCACATGATGAGGAAAAAGAAACTTTAAACCCAGCTTTAAAGAAAAATAATGTGAGCAAAATAAATACCCTTAACACACCAGAATAAGTAACGCATATGTGAGAAATGTTAGAGGTTTTATTAATGTTGCTATTTTACCTGAACGAAGCCAATAGGTAGAATACCTGTGCACTGCTCATTTTAATTCATACTTTGTTTTGTCATTTATAGCATAGAGAGCTTAGTATCAAAGTCATATTAAAACTTTGAATAATGTATTTTGAATTAACTTGATAGTAATATAACCAAACATGAAGTCAAGTAGTCTGAGTACCTTTGCATGGTATGTAACAGCGGTTGTGCTTAGTTGAATAATTAACGGCTGACTATTACTGTTAGCTTGAAAGTCACCTCCCAGTGATTTCCATCCCATTTGAGTCACCTCCAAACTCACAGTCAGCAGCCTTGCGCCTCACAGAGAGACAGACAGACAAACTCCCACCTGGCATACTCGACGTGACGCGAATTAATTACAAAATCATTTCTGCCCCCTTAATGAATTAGGGGAGAGAATCAAGTACTCAATTAAATGATTAGGTTCTGAGCTACAGCAAAGACTTTGCAAATTCCAGTCAAAGCCAGAGTATTAGAAGCAATCTGCTTTGAACAGACCTGACCATTGTCCCTTATCGGGGAGCTGAGTGCAAGCGGTTTCCTATCAGTGCAAGAGCTGGTACTGCATATGTTTCTCTCCATCTGTCTCTCTGTCACTCTTTCTCTTGCTCTCATCATTATTGTTAGAGCTCCTCTTTGTACACCATCTTCCTCCTCCTCTTCATTTGTCATTCTTCATTTCCCTGCTCCTCTCCCTCTCCCACCCCTTCTCCCCCACTCTCATGCTCTCTGTTTCTCCCTCCAGGCAGCCAGGGAAAAGGAGAGCTCTCAGGCCCAGCTGAAGGCGCTGAGCCAGCAGACTGAGGCGGCCCACAGGGAGCTCACTGAAATCCTAGGTCGTTTGGCCCAGCGTGAGGAAGAACTCCACCGCAAGGACGTGGAGCTGTCCGAGACCCGCCAGCGCCAGTTGTCACTGGAGCAGGAAATCCGGGAGGTGTGGGGTTGAACATCCAGAAATAGAATTCCTCTTTCAGATATTTTTTCCACCTATAGGACCATAGACTGTGGGTCAGGTTTTCACTGCACAGTGTGCTACTAGAGATTTTTTATTGTTCCTTCATTTTGAATCTGTTGACCTACCTGCAAGCTCATGTCATTCATTCAAATCCAGTTAACTTCAGCTTTTCTAAAATGGATTAAAAATTGATTAGAGGTTGAATCAAATAGTATCACACTGTCACCATGAAGTATACTATTTGGATATTATGTAATAACTTATTTTAAAAGTATTCAGCAAGCCCTGAAGTTTTACTGTTTTGCCATATATCAAAACTCCTTTCCAAAATGCTTGTTTGTTGGTTGCAAGCACATTAGCATTCTTATATAAATCCCGGTGTAACCACAGGCATGGCTGAAATTCAAAGATGAATTTGTCTTGTTCAGATTGAGGTGTTGTTAAAGTGAAAAATGAATGTGTAACACAAACTTAGCTAAAGAGTCATTAAAGAGCTTTCATAAGATCCTAATAGCATTCCTAACCCCAGGTAAGAGAGGCCTCAGCTGCCCTGGAGCAAGAGACTCAGCGTCAGGCCGCCATCCAAGCAAGACTAAGGGAAGAGAACCAGAGGCTGGAGGAACGAGCTGACAGCCATGCCCGTCGTTGTCAAAGAGACCAGGACACACAGGCCGAGCTCCAGGCTGCCCTAAAGCAGATGACCTTAGTCCGTGCCCAGCTAGCTCAGCAGTTAGCTGAGGAGGAGAGCTCCAAGAAGGAGCTCCAGAAGGGCACCTCACAACTGCAGGCTAAGCTGACAGTGGTGCAGGAAGAGCAGGCTGCACTGGGGCAACAGCTGAAGCTTGAGAGAGAGGTGCATCAGAAGGAACTGAACAACATGAAGGCAACAATGGAAGACAGCAGGATAAAGAAGGATCGTGAAGTGCAGGACACGCTGCAGCTCTGCCGTCAGGAGCGAGATGAAATGCAGGCACAACTGAAAGAGGTTAAGGTAGGTCCTTTATAAACATGTATTCATACATAAGTCTTTTTTTCCCTAAGGGAAATGTACAGTTAAAGGAACAGTTTAATTTGCTTTTTTGACTCCAGTTAGATACCATTCTCATGTCTGTACAATAAATGTTACAGCCAGCAGCTGGTAATCTTAGTTTAGGATAAAAACTGGAAACAGCTAGACTGGGTCTGTCCCAAGCTAACAAAACCTGGTACCAGTAATTTCCTAGAGTCTCCACTGGTTGCCTGACAGCTGGTCCTAGCCAAGAAATAGTGTGGCACATCAACACTAGTATTGATATTTGCATCCAACTTGTGGCAAGAAAGTGAATGAGTCTATTTCCAAAAATGTTTTAAACTCACCTAAAGGCCCCTATAAAAAGCTGTGCAGAGATCTGGATAATGTATCAGACACGTGTGCCTTACACTTTTAATTTGTCTTTTGAGATGTCAAGGTCATAAGCCAACCAAAGAAATTTCTTTTCTTCACACCTAGGCATGGATCACAGAGTGCCACACTCTAATTGACATTTAGAGTATCATTGGCACGCACTTCAAATTCAGCACAGGGTAACATGCCTCAACCACAAAACATCTGGCATATTTCCGACTCAGCGAGACACAGACAAAATTCTCATTTAGAGTAATTTTCCTTATTGGCCAGGGCTCTGTCCTCTGAGTGCGGGTGAATCGAGGATAGCTGAGCTCTTAATGGTGTGTGATGCCCCGTGGATCCTCACGGCCATTCCACAGCTCCAAGCGTGAATATTTAAAAACCCTGATATCAGACCTCAGAAGTCTCATCAAGGCAGTGTTAGAGATAGGGGACTCCTCCTGATTTACTCCCGTGTCACCCTACCCCCGTGATGAGTCCTCATGGGTACATTGTTTCTTAAGGGGCATGGTCTTCTCTGATATGGCTGAGTTTAGCCCATTAGCTGCACTGAATGGTATTAATATCTGACATAGCTCATTGTAATGGTGTCATTTCCGAGTGCAGAAAGGACAAGGGCGTTTGCAAGAGTGTTTTTAAGTACTAGCCTAGGGGTGCTGCAGATGTCCCTAAGAAGCCCACCCAATATTCATAGAGCATAGCCAGAAGCCTATATTACAATTTTGATACAGTCAACTGTCAGAAAAAGCTTAAAATATTCTTATTTTCTTGTCCTTGTCCTCTCACTCTTGATTTCTCCTCCACTCTATCTTTCCTCCCACCATCTCTCTCTTTCTTAATCTCTCTCTTACTGCCTCCCTCCAGTTCTAATTTTGCATTTTCCATCTGTTTTTCTCTCCTCACTCCAAGCAGCTCTGTTTTTCCATTTTTTTTTCTTTGTTTGTGTCACTCCTGACACTCCTAGTACTCAGTCATTGTTGTTCATTCCACATTACTGTATCTCGAGCTGTGTGATAATGTGATCACTGTAGATAGAAAGCTTGAATGTCTGAGCTGGATTTTCCTTTGCAAGTCTGAGACATGCATCAAGGATGTAGACAATGATTTCAGAGACTTGGCAATGGTTATCTATCCATCCTCTTGACCCTCTACATGATGTTCTCTGTCTGTGCTGAACAGAATGTCATGTCAGACCATACTGTGAATTCACTCTGTACCTAACAGATGTGACATAACATCTTTTAGAAATTGTTAGGGCCCACTGGCAAATTTGGCATGCTGTATGTATGATGCAGAAAGCAGAACTTATTTGCACTTTTGAAAACTACGTTGCACTTTTTTCTCATATCCCCACTATATTTTAGTGCATGATCACAGAAATACAAACTGCAGCCAGCTTTAAGTTGATATTTTTAGTGCTGACCTTATTATCTTAAGTTACTGCCTTTGTATCATGGCCTTTAACATATCCACTCTCTACTAGGCAGATGCAGTGTCAGACAAAGAGCTGTGTGGGGTGCTGCGCATCAAGTTGGACAGGATGAAGGATGAGTGTGATAAGCTGGCAGCACAGCTGAGCACAAAAGACGAGGCACATGCACTTCTCCACAGAAAGTACCATCTACTCAAACAGGAACTGGATGACAAAGTAAGCCCTCCCTCCTTTGCTGTTTTTCGGACAAAGTGACTAATATCAAATGACATAAAAAAATTCCAATAAATGCAGAGTATCCATTGTCATTGCCAATGTCATTACCAGGACATTGCTTCCTTCCCAACCTTGCATTAAGATCTAGGATATCTGATTAAGGTCATGTGATCATATAAACCTAGGACTGGTTCAAAAGGTTAAGTGGTGCCAAATCAGCACTATTTTTAAAGGGCCTTTATCAATATGTTATTCACCTCTTTGACAGGCCCCTGATAAGCTGTATGGGGCTCTTTGGGGGGATCCATGTATTGATTTGAAATCGGGTGAATGGAGAAAAAAGGGGCATCCATTAATGTAACATGGCCAGTTTATTATTCCAGGGACAGGATAACGATTCACGGTCCCTGGGCAGTGCTGATCAGTTGGTTCCTGTCCCTCGGACCTATCGATTGACTGTGGCCTGGTAGAGATCCTGAAGTATTGACAGTGCTGACCAGAGAAGGAAACTTAACTAGATCTGTTTGTGTGAGAAGAAAGTGAATTGGCTCTCAGATGCTCAAATTTGTGTATTTGTCTTTCTGTGTGTGTATTATTGTGTAAACTTGAATAACTACCCACAGTTGATGTTGTAATAAGCAAACCTGGGTGTGTTTATTTAGTCACCCACAGAAAATCTGCTGTAAATTAATCTTTTTATACTGTCTTGTAAAATCCAAATGACATAACTAAAAGCACTAGAAAGTAGTTGCTAATTTGCATCCACTATACCTCGCTCAGCTGTCTGCTGTCCTCCACAGGTCAGGTCAGGTGATCGGAGACATGCTTTGGAGTCAAAGCTGGAGGAGAAGGTGCTGCGGATGGAAACAGAGCAAGAGGCAATCTTTACCTCCATGGGTGAGGAGCTAGACGCAGCCTGCCGCAGCCTTGCTAGGAATGGTGAAGATAAATTACAGGTATTTAATTTCATTACATTATATTTGTTGTATTTTGTCCTATTTTATTTTGTTTGTTGTTTGTGTATTTTAAAGCTGCATGTAACGTTTCTTTGGCCACTCTGGGGCATAAAACCTGCAAAACAAGGTCACAGAAACACAACACTGATATACCATCGCTTGTTAATGAACATGTAAGCAAACAATTGCATATTTACACAATCAGCAGACACAGAGCAACATGAGCAGGAGTTGTCAGATACTGGTCCAGTATTGACTTGCTGTTTAACTGAAACAGCCCACCAACTCCTGAAAAAACTAGCTGCATCTTTAGTTTACTAAATGGTCAACTTTCCAAAGTAGAGCCTTGATTATTTCAGCTATTTCTTGGTCTGTTCTGGGCTTACCCAACCAGTCTTGGCTAAAGAGCATTAATAGTTTCTATCTATACAACCTTCGTCTGAGCACACATATGCATGCACTCTCATCAGAGAATGTTTATCTTATACTGTGTGCTGAGATGAAGGCTGCATGAGCTGGAGGCTTGTATTGATGATTAAAAATATTTTCATCTTAGAGGGTGAATTCGTTTGTTCTTCTACTAGAGTAAAGATTAAATTGTTCAAGAAGGAAAAAATCAGATGGACATGATTGTTTCTTACCGTATGTTCATAAAACTGTCTCTTGTCTGTTTCTGTTTGTACAAACATACAGAATTACCCTTCATTTGTATTACAATTAACAAAGTGATCTGGCCCCTAGTATGAGAAATGCTATGCTATCTAGAGTTGTTAAGCTTCCTGTAAATGTAAATCTTTTTATACTAAGTTCACACTACATGATTTGAGCCCTGATTTTCCACTCGCCAACCGTTTTTGGAGATCACTGAGAAAAGCCCCAAATCAAAAGCAAATTGGCATTCACTCTGCGCTGGCAAATTGGTGATTGATCAACATTCAATATTGTCATTATTATTATTATTGAAATTGACAGATTATGAAAAAGAGATCTAAACTTCAATAAGGCTACCCGATTAAATAAAGTTCATAATAAAATTCCTATAATGCACAATAAAGTTTCTATGGTGCCTACTGACAGACAGTTTTATGCATGTTGCCTATTGGAAATACCAACATGTTCATACACTAATAAACACATTGTACACACACTCACTTCCCCTAACATGTTTGAAGCTGGTTTTCCTCTGGTGCTCCAGGCTAATGAACCCTGGCAGCTCTTATCTGCTCTTATAGATTTCCCAATCGGCTCCAGCAGTGCAACAGCCAGACATGCGAGCCAACGCCTCTCCTCATCCGTAATCTGTCATGTTGAAAAGAAGTCAAACTCGCTAGTGATTGGCTTAATGAGGGGAATCATTAACAGTTAAGGGGTGTATTAGGTTTCAGTTACCTTGTGATACTCTCCTTCCTTATTTCTCTTTAGAGGAATTAATTCAAGAGGTTTTAGGACAGTATAGCGCTAGTTGAAAGTTAAAGAAAAAAGAGAAACAGTACACTGTCATACATGAGATTACCACTGGGAATTTACTGCTGTCTTAATTAAAGTAACTAAATGCAAAAACTAATCAACAAGATAAACCGTTGACCTCACCTCTTGAACCCACTTGACTCTCATTTGTGACCTACTTCCTGTACACATCTTTTGTCTCTTCCGAGCACAGCTGGCTCAAGTGAATGCACAAAATGTAACGGCAGTTCTGTGTTTGAATTAAGTCTGGGACATTTGTCATTTTATCCTGTTTCTCCTCTGACTTTCCTGTCTCCCTTCACTTTAAACCATTTGATGAGGAGAAATGCCCCAGTGAAAATATCTATAAAAACATCCTCCTGTGTCCTTTACACTTGCGGTTAGTTGTAAAATCTCTGCTTTTTGCTTCTCTCTAAACTTTGCTATCTTCACCATTCTCTCAGCGGGAGGTGAAACAAACAAACTGTAACCAAAGACGCGCCGTCACAGATTTACTCGCGTTCTGAAAGAGATATAAAAACCATGCAGTCACACATTTAAATTAGCAATGGCAGACACTTGGATTCCACGGCAGTGCTGCTGACAAAATAGTGGCATTTCTTTCACTTCAGCCCCACAGACAACACTTTCAACTCCCAGCCTACTTGTTCAGTTTTTCTGCAGTTTCACCTCCTTTTTGTCTGCCACCGCGCCGAGCTGCCTTTGATGGTTCAGGAAAGAGTAAAGAGAGAGAAGAGCGAGAGGCATACAGGCGTGTTTTATCCTCCCACGCAGTCACACACTCTTCCATGTGGTTGTACACTCCCAGAGATGGGGACCTCTGCACAGCAGCACTCCATTGCTGTACTTTGAGCTGCCGTGGCAACAACTTGGGAAATTTGTTTTGCTTGGATCTGGATTTGAGTGACAGGTTGAACAGAGCCGTGTGCCGTGAAGATGTTGTCTGCCATGGCACAGGACAGAAATGGTCAAAAGAAAATCCTGCAGTGTGCCTTTCCATGTCAGTTGATTATGCATAAAAAACCTCGCTACAAGTGTGTGCTTAAAAAAAACGATTGTACTTTTTTGTCAACTTTGTTCATGGCTGTGAGTGAATATGTTGCGTCTTTTTACACCTATGTTGCAGGAGGGGAGTTAGGTTTTTCTCCGTCTGTTTGTGTATCAGCAGCGAGGCATGAGGTTTCTCTATGAATGGATTTGCACAAAAACATTTTGGAAAGGTTGATCAAGGGGCAAAGAGGCAATGTGTGTTACTTCTTTCCAATACGCATGTAATGTCAAAACAGATCTGTGTCAACACTGTTTTGCCATGCTAGTTAGCTGCTGTCCATTGGTCCTACTGTGAAAGTATTTTTTCTTTTTTATCACTTTCGGTGATCTACTGACTTCCTGTAATGCCACGAACAGGGCAGAGTTTTCACTTTGTCTGTGAAATGCCTCAACATGATACCATCCTTACTTGATGGATTGGCAGAGGATTTTGTTCCCAGATGATGAATCCTAATGAGTTTTGGTGATCCCCTTTGTATTCCTCTAGTGCCATCATGACATTTGTTATTTTGAGTGAAATGTCTTGATAACTATCAGATGGAATGTCATTAAATTTGGTACAGACATTCATTTTTATGTTTGGATGAATTTGGTGATCTCTTTTCCATCTAACCTCACGTCACATGTCAGTCATGTTTCAGTGCTACCTGAAGTAATATACCCCCATCGTCAAAGCCCCTTTCGTTGTTATAACACAGGGCTGTTTTCAGACTGAATGCCCTCTTAGTTTTGTTTGAGCCATCTGTAAACACAGAAAAAGACAAACCCCCATAATTAGCAATATCAGACAACAGAAAGACGTAGGAAAACTTCGTCCTGTTTCAGATAAAATAGTCTCTTCGGGGTATCGTGTAGACAGAGTGGTTAAGATGCATAATGTATAACCACAATATTCTTTGTTGGGTGTCATATGTCTTTCTCCATACTTTGTCTCAGCACTATCACTGTCTAATAGGAAAAAAAAGATAACCTGCCATTCAATTTATTTTTAAAATTTAGAGCAGTGGTTAAAGTGCAGCCCTAATGGCCACAGAACAGACAGACTGGATTGGTTACCTGAAGTTATGATAACCAACCAAGATACTTGAAAGTGGTCAGGATAGCTAACATTTCATTTCAGGTATTGGCATGCACATGTGTTCACCTCTTTGTTTCAAACAAGCAGGTACTGAGAAGCGTAGAAGAGATTTTTAACCTTTGGGGAAAATTCGACATGTTGAGCTGGAAAATCTCAACAGCTGTATAGCTTCAGTAGAGGTGTGCTCTCAACTTGTTGAGCGTCATCTAGTTATGTGACTGTTTATCTGTCTGTCTGTGAGTGTCTTTTTTCTTAAGTGTGTGTGTGTGTGTGTGTGTGTGTGTGTCAGCAGTCATTAGGAGTTGGAAGACAGTCAGTTTGTATTGTTGATGCTGACAAGCTTGTCTGGAAAGGATGGAACCTACTCCCCGAGCTCATTTTTATGACACACACACACACACACAACCTCTGTGTGCAGGTGTGTGTGTCTACGTGCAACAGTGTGTGTAGTGTCAGACTGTTTAACACATACACATGCCAATTTAAACTGGCAGAAGTCGTTCTTCACAAAAGTTCAAGGTTTAACAGGAGTCTGTTCTTCTGATTGTTATCCTGTTGTTTGTGCATCCACATTTTCAGTCACTATTTCTGCTTTTTCTCCTACAATGTCTCTTATATATTTAGACAACCTACATCCATGAAATCCTGTTTAGAAATTCTCTTACATTTGCACTCCTTTGCAGTGTAGACTTTTTTTAAGAACAGAATTTTGTATAGCGTGCTACAAAGTCAGAAAAGCTCACATTTGCATTAATCTCTCTCTGTTCTGTTTTAACAGGCGATCTCACAGAAACCTGGATTAGTAAAAGACCCTCATCGTTGGCTAGCCGAAACAAAGGTATGATCATTACATGCAGTAGTGCTGCCTTCCATGCAAAGGATTTCTCTAAATAATCAATTGTTTAATTGATTAAATAACAGTATTACCATGAAGATAACGCTCATTCACATAATATAATATAGAAGATTAATGAAAGACAACAACAGCATAAAATATATGTAATCAATGATTTGGTCTTTGTAAAATATTTCATACTGTAGTGTAACCTCTCAGAAAAAAGATGATTCATTGTTGAGGAAACCACTTTGAGCAGCTGAGCACTGATGTGTGATGAGAGTCTGCAGGGATCACAATGAAACTCTGATGTTGAGGGATTTTTAACAGAATGCCTTTCCATAATAATCATAAGGGTATGGCACCTGGCTTCTCTCTAAGAGAAATCAGTCCCTATTTAGTATTGCAGTGATGCACTGTACAAAAGAAACATGTAATTATGGCTGTGGCAGTGATGCATGATACTGTGTTAAAATGTGTTTGCACAATTCATAATGTTTATCACCATAATGTATATCTCCTGTCAGAAATGCTTTCAGCGTACTGTGCATTTACAAAAATAAAACAGTGGAGAACAAGAGAGATAATTAGCTACCTTGTTAGGAGTTTTTATGTTAGTAAAATCTAGGCATGATTTACAGGCTTACAGAGCACAGTTAGAAAACCCATTTAACCAATAATTTTCCTTGGCCGTAACAATCTGTTATATGAAACATTGTAAATTGATTTACATCCCCTGTTGTATTGACGGTGTGCTTCATATTAATTTGTCTTTCTGGGCCACTGCATTTTCTCAGAGCTTTTATCACACTCATTGTGTCTGGGCTCCTCAAAATACTCAAAATGACAGAATACTGATAGACTTAATGTTGTGTGTACATTTAAGATGAGATTTCAAGAGAATCATGAACTTGTAGCTTGGACAGTGCTGCAGACTTTTAAATAGAAGGGGATTTTTTTTGAGAGGATTTTACCTTAAAGGGAAAACAGAATTCCCTTGTGATATTCTTATATCTGACAGGGGACTTAATTAAGTTCCTATGTGAGGTCTTTTCCATTGATTAGTGTGCAGTCTTCTGCATGAGAAAACCAATGGGAGCACTATATATGAGGAAAATTATTTTTATTATCAGATGGGCCTGGAATGCAGGGTCTCGAGGTGGACTTAAATCAGCGACTTCCCCTTCCCAATACGCTGAGTCTCTTAATGTCTCCAATTAAACCTTAGAATATAAGAACCTATCCAAACCCATCCCACTACACCTCTATCTAAGTACATTCTGTGCTGATCTTATAATTATTTAACCAACCAGACAAAGCTACGCTGGCTGTGTGAGGAGGTGCGGGAGCGTGACACAAGAGAACAGCGCCTGAGGAAGCAGCATCAGCAAACCAGGGATCAGTTGAAGGCCCTCAGGCAGAGCCGGGACTCAGAACAGGCCGCTCTCCTGCAGCGCCTGGACCAGCAGGAGAAGCTTCTGCACTCCCTGAGCACTGAAAAGAAAGGTATACAAACAGTATTTAATTAAAAACAATTCATGTTGATTTCATATGCAATTAGGAAGCACGTGAGAATGTAGTGTAGTTTTTTTTTTTTTTTTTTCATCACTCAAACTGGTACCATCGTCATCAAAGCATGGCAGTGAGTCACATACCCACGCTTTATAAAATTTGTCACAAGGCAGCATCATATGAGTCTAATCAGGCTCTGTGTTCTTTATTAGGCAGCTAATAACTTGCCAGAAAAACATTGGACAAGAAATCCTTTGGTCATCCACATCTGAATTTATGAATATTTACTATAGCAAGCTCTTAATGAAAATGTAGTCGTTCTTTGACAGTTTTTTTTTTGTTTTTGTTTTTTTATGGATACAGCCGAGTCATATGCTGACTTCTTGTTTTCTTCCTCTCTCATTTACATTTAATCACACTGTCATTAAGAGCAGTAACTAATTCAATGCCTTCATATAAGTGAAGTGGTTTTGTGTGCTGTTGTAAAGGATGCTCGTGGAAATGGTTGTCTGTGCATTGTGTTTTAGTCCGTGCACGCGGGTCGGTCTGTTTACGATTACAAATGTTTGAAAAAGCATCTTAATGTGTGTGAACTTTGAGACTTCTATGAAAAATGGGCTTGTTTTTCTTGTCCAGACTCGCATTTCTGACTGAATTTCTTTTAATGAGCTGTAAGCCAGAGGAAGAACAACTTGTTTTTAGTGCTTTGGCTGAACAATACAGGGAAATGGGCCTAATTTGTGTTCCATTAAGAGAGAGAAAGAGAGTTAAAAGACACACCGAGACCATAGAGGGAGTCATAGTTAGAGGGGAGATGGAAGACCTGTACAGAGAGACAAACAATTGTCCATTATTTCACTGTGTGTTTTTGGCTATAGAGGTAAAACATACAGATAAGCAATCTAATGATACAGCCTCACCTCCATACCCCTTTCTGACACACAGTTCACTCTGTCTTTGGACCCAATCAGCCATTTGACAACCTTGTCTGTCTTCTCTGCAGGCAGAAGCACTGATATGGTCTCCTTAGTAATTAGACCCAAGAATGATCTGTAAGTCACAACAGCTACAAGATCTGGTTGTTTGTATTGAAGGTGCAGGAATTAAGATTTTATCGTCTGTGTTTTGAATATGGCTTCTCAGTTAAGTGGCTGCTCAGTGATTCTGTTGTTGTGTTATTGGAGAGCAACACAAGATTTAAGCATCCCTACCACGCATGAATATGAGCAGCGATGACATGATGCATTTTCAACAAAACACTCAACAATGCAGTGTGGCAAATAAGTTTACCCTTCCCCATCACAGCTGTTTATTCTCAGTTCTGCTGTATTATATTATCAAACTGGGAATTGTATTCTTTAGAGATGTAATTTTCTTATACCCACTTTTCTGCTTATCTTAGTAGATTTGCTGTTAATGCCTGCAGTCTGCAGAACCCTGTGTGACCTACTGTAATTGTCTCAGTGAATTATTAGTGTCAGATTAACGTTGCAGTCTGTGTATTTGACTTGTGCAGCACTCTCTATGGGCCTTTCCTTTTCAAACAAGTCTACACTGCGTGAGTAGATAATAAGTTCTAGTACTACAGGACCTAGGTTTTACAGTCAGTACGATGGGTGAGTCAGAGAACAGCACTTTGGCAGCAACAGACTAACACTACCATGACTCTTCTGCTGACTTCAAGGTACATTATAAAAGGTGAGCCAAAAGCAAAGGTTTGAGAAACTGGAGGTTTATTCCATAGCCAGAAATTGTTTATGGCTTTTCTTTTGGCAAGTATTTCTGTCAAGTGGGTTGACCTGTGTTGTAAGATATTTGTTTACATGCACATATTCTTGAGGAGGAGGAGGAAATTCAGTCATCCCCAGGTAACTGGATATTGAATGTGGGAACACGTTAGGAGACAGAGGGCAAACTAAAGAGTACGTCTAGTAATATGTTTGCAGAGGTATTTATAGACTGTTAGACCTTATGCTTTCAGAAAAGTGAGATCATGTCATTACTGTGTACAGATATGTGTCAGTGAAGGGCTTCTCACACTATAATGGAGGTGTCTTTGATGTTCAACTCTCATGTTGACTCTCTGAGTCACATTTGAATCCATTATAAATGATGCAACTGTTTTTTAAAACAATAGATTAATCCAAATCCCCAACACACAAGTTGCACAATTATTTAGTTATTAGTCACTGGAAAAAAATAATACTTCATGATGATATTTCACAAAGACGAATTGAAATTAAAACATTTCTTTCTTTAATTATTCAAACAGTGTTTTGCTACCATTTCATTAAAACAGATGCACAAAGCTTCCTCTGCTCAGCGTAATGCCAAGCTGAGTAAAATTGGGTAAATATTGTGGCATTTGCTTAATAAAACTTGCTAAATTAATTCGGAGATATTCCTCTAAAACAACATCTCATTAAGCAAACAACCAGTGATTGTAATTAAAAACAATTTGTTGCTGCAGTCAACAATAGACAGAAGAAGAGTTTCTTCTTTCCCCTACCTGTCTGGGTAAAAAAATAATCCACTGGCAGCAAACTGTGCTGGAAAGAGTCAAACATATAGAGATAAGTAGCATTTATCACATGACCAAAACACAATTAATTAATAATGAAAGAATAATCCTAACTGGTGTGCTGGGACGTTAAATTTCTGGGTCCTGCTTTTCCATAACTCATTGATGAAAAACTGATCGTTATTGTTGTGGTGTTATACAGATGTCAAGTATGTTACGATTGAATAGCTCTGCATGAACAAAGAAATTTAATCCTTCATAACATTTTCATTTTTAACAATAGGATGGGTAAATGTACTGTAGAAGAAAACAGCTGTTTAGCGTGAAACTATTATTATACTACTGCTTGGTCCCCATCACTATTCTCTAAAACCCAAGGTTATGTGTTGAAATTGCTGTTTGTCTGACCAACACTCCAAAACACAAATCTGTCACTTTACTTTCTTTACCAATCTCACTTAGGACAAAGAAAGTTCTCACATTTGAGAAGCTGGAACAAGGAAATGTTTGACATTTTACTAGAAAAATTATCCAAATAATTCTTGACTGACTGACTGTTGGACTAATCATGTACCTTCTACAGTTGCTTTATATTACACTTGCATATGAACATTAAAAGTATACATGAGACCTGCCATAGATGGAGCATATTGTCATAAAATAAACCAAGGATTAAATTGTATCTGGCTTAATACAGCCAGTCCTGATGATTTAAGATATGCATAGTTTCACACAGATATCATTACTTTCAGATTGGGCTGGAAAGTCTCTGATGCTTCTTAACTCAATTCATCAACAGCAAACTCTTGTCTTACACAGTTTTCTCATTTCAGAGCTGTTGGAGAGGAGTCGCAGGAAGGAGGAAGAAATGAGGAGCCTTCAGGTCAGCATTATGTCTTTATTAATCCATATCTGTTTGCATCCATTAACCTGCACTCTAGATGGTAGATTTTATTATCTAGCTGGCCTGATTTCAGATGTATGTTGCCAAAAAGAGACAGCTTGTACAGTTTTTGTTTATACACCATTTTGGCTTCAATGTATTTGTTCCTTTTTGCATATCAGTTGGGTTGGTTTTGAGTAACCGCTGGGCTTCAGTCATCCGAGTCCTGTGATGCAGTGTTACAAACATTAGTACACAGCCATGGGCCTGACAGACTCCTTGCAGCCTTGCTTGAACAACTAGCTAATTACTGCAGACACAAGGCCTTGGAGTTTAAAAGCCACCAGAGGCCTTGTCTCTGTCTTTCAGTACTGCAGCATCTACACTTGGCAGGCCACCAACTCACCTAGTCTGTAGTGGACTGGCCCCCAGCGCCTCACTGGCCCTTTACTCACCATTAAACAGCGTCACACATACGCACGCACACACACTAAAATGTCTGCTAAGCAATCGTTTCCAAATATGTGTCTGTGTCTGTGTGAGCTTGTGTGTGTGTGTGTGTGTTGGATAGCAGGGTCCCATCTGTGGCTGCATGATGGCACCTGCCAGAGCTCGTGTGCAATTAATCAGCCCTCTCAGACCCAGCCGAGCTTTTAATTATGAAGGATGAGGAGAGAGAGATGTAGTGAGGAAAGACAGATAGGGTGAGGGATGTAGACGAGTTAAAAAAAAAAGTAGTTGGATGGGGGTGGGCTGATGAAAAGAAAGTACCCTTGTTACAAACCATCAACACATTACAGGCAGAAAGGGAGAGGCAGCTGGTTGTGTGTGTGGGGGGGGGGCAGGTGTGTGTTTGAGTGGCAGATAAGAGGCATAGCATCACTTATGCATCGTTAGAGAGGGAACATCAGTCAGGAGCTGGATGAACGGCGAGAGCGGTTTTGTCTTTGTGTGTGCATGTGTGTCAGTGTGTGTGATAAGAAGCCTGTTGTGTGCTACAGACTCTCCCTAGCCTCTGCATTTCCTTCCCTTGTTACCCATTCGTTGGAACACTCTATTCCTCTCTTCTGTCACTTTTCTCCCACACACATGTTCTGAGTTTCTCTCTGCTAATCCACCATTTTGAGCTCTCACTGTCTTGCAACATTTTCTGGCTCATTTTGTTAGTTTAAACCTGACTTTAGCATCAGTTCTTACTTTACTTCTGTATTCATATAAAGTAATGTTGCTATGTTTGTTTGTATTTACAGGACCGTGTTTTGGATCTAGAGACGGTAAGTTCTCATTGCTTCAATCAAAATAATGAATATTGTTTAAAGAAAATTTCTTTGTATATTCTGGTTTGGAAAATTGGGAGTTTTGAAGTGTGTCTGTGTGTGTCCTGAAATTGTTAAATTCAAAGTCATGTTGACTTTCAGCATGATTCGATGCAGTCGTATAGGCAGGTTCACCTAGCAGCAAACATCGGGAACACATACCACAGGCTTGGAAATTATAGCTTTAGTCAAGACTCAGACCTGTGTTAATCATCATAAGTCTTGCTGACAGGGTTAAGAAAGGAGCTGTACTGACAACACAGTATTGACCTCATCATCCAAACTGTTAACGTCCACCACTAACATCCTTAATCAGTGATTAGATGTCAGGCCCTAAATTACTTAGCACTGCTGAAAGGTTATATTGACCCAAGCTCTTTTTACTCTTGTAGTAGTGTAAATGAAGCTGTCAAACACATGCTGTCCATCCATCACAATTATACAGCACGCTTGACCACTTCAACCTTTAATTAGCCATTGTGAGAAAGAAGAGGAAATACCTCACACCACCATCAAGTCAAATCATGTCTGCTTACCACAACAACACAACAGCAGCAGGATGCATCGACCCATCCTATACTCAGCCTGGGTGGTAGGGATCATCCAGCGAGTCTTACTTGTATGCCAGTGTGTCATTCAGTGTAGCAATCAGCGTGATGCCTTGTAACAACCAGTTCTTTTGATGCTTAAATGTTCCACCTGAATGTGAAGGGGGAAGGCTTTTGAAACATACAGTGGAGAGATGAATAGAATGGAGTGTGGCTTGAGTAGTTACTTAATCAAAGAGCGTGCCAAGTGTGTTGTAACAAAAGTCCTCAATTAGCCTTTTAATTGACCAGACGGTATGACATCAACATTTGTTACTGTGTAGGCTCGAGCACATTCATACCACAGCAGCTGTGGAGAAAATATTTGAATTGGAGCCGGATAGACTGGATTCCCAACAATCGCATACCCATTTGTCCATGTTTCTGTCTTTTGCACTGTCACTGGAAAAAAAAAGACATAAAAAATCTCCTTACTATCAAATATTCACCCCATGGTTTTAGAGGTCGCTGTAAAGTTTGTCTCTTGCGCCTCTGATGCCGATTGCAGCTGTAATGTGCTTACATTTAAAACAGTTAAAATGAAATCCAACAGTGACCCAGAGTCACAGCCAAAAGACAAATGTGTAAAACATTCATAGAAAACCTCCTCAACACCACTTCACCATGAATCCATGCCCTCAGTATATTCCAATCAATCTGCAAGTCATCAATAGATATGCTTCTTCAGAGGTAGCAGGAGGTGATAGTGTGATATGTATGTGTTGTGTAAAAGTCTCTGTGGAGTTTTCTTATAAACAAACAAAATTTTTTTTTATGTTCAGCGTTTCTCACCAGTTAGCGTTGTGTGTATACTTAAAGCTCTAACTGACAAATGCACTTCTTTTCTCATAAACATTTGCAAAGGTGATTTTTATTTATTTATTTTTTTTAAATCCTGCATTGTTTACATTCATGTTTGCTAGCTTGAAGTTATTTTCCTGACTGCCTTTGTTGGCACATTACTATATTATGTTGATCAACTGAATAGTGTTAAACCAGCAGCAGGAATGTGAATTACAGGTCACATATTTTTACCTTGAAATATATCAAAAGTGATTTTTTTTTAACTATTAGGAGGGAGGAAACCCGAAAAAATAAGTGGAGAACCAGAGACTCTTGTTTCTCCTTTAGGTGCTCTTTTGAAAACTTCATGCATACTCATGTGTCATAGGCCCTGTTCAGAACAGCCATTAACATCCATCTCAAGTGATTTGATCACATGTGGACAGCTCTTAGTGCGTCTTGGGTGCGTTCACATTTGTACTGAGGACCACATTCTTTTAGCAGTGTGAACACAAATGTGTCCTGGGACACATTGAAGGACCGCCTACTCCGCTGACGTCCTCTGCCACAGTCTAATTAGTCCCAACACACTTTCATAATGAACTGAAAAAATGTTATTATTTCAAATTGCTAAAGCCTTATTGATTCGCTCAACCCCTCCTTGTCACCCTTGTCAGCTGTGAGACTTTATATACAGTGCATGCAGAAAGTATGTCTGAATACTTTGTCTGACCCTTCACCTTTTTCACATTTTGGAGGGTTGCAGCCTCTTGGTAAAATAATTTAAATTCATTTTTCCCTCACCAATCTACACTCAATACCCTATAATGACAAAGTGAAAGCAGAGTTTTTGCAAATTTGTCAAAAAGGAAAAACTGAAATACCACATTGATGTAAGTATACAGACCTTTTGCAATGACACTTGAAATTTAGCCCAGTGCTTTCCACCACCATTGTCAAAACACTAATTGAGTGAATATCTTTTGGAAGAATGGAGTTTATCCCCCAGTAGAGTTCAGAGACTCATAGAATCAATACCCAGGCGCACTGAAACTGTTCCGGTGGCATGTGGTGGCTCAACACCTCACTAAGACACTGCATGTTGGTTTTTCATTTAATTTCTCGCCTGTGGTTGAAATCTTGTGAGCTGGAGAAAAAGACCATCACTAGGAGTTCAGATGTCTTAGGCAGAAGTATTTATTGTAAGCTTAGTGCCAAGGAGAAAGAGATGAGCAGTACACAGTGGGTATGTGAATCAGAGTAGTGCCACACCAGTTTCTGAACATGGCTGGTCCTATAGGGCGTATATATTCCTAGGTATCACATGGTTGCAACACTCCTCTGTGCCTTACCCAAGTAACGCTAAACTTTAGTCTAAACCTATCTGTGTAAAGACTGTTGGTCACACAAGCCTGGTCTTTGTCACATGTTCTTGTCTAATTAATATTACATGTGTCTTGCCATTTGCCTACTTCAATCATCCTTGACTAGAACTGTGTTTAAGCAGTATTCTCTAGGTTGATGCTTTTCCCTGCATCTTTATGAAACCTTGGTTACCCTAGCTACAGAGGATAGAGTTGGCTCAATCTTGACGCCAACAGTCATAATAGAAGCTACAGAGAACCATTGTCTAACAATGTGAGTTTGTTATGACCTGAACTCTTGGAGTGTAAGTAAGGCCTACAAAATAACAAAACAACACTAAAGGGAAGACAATTCCTTCACATCACCTGCCTGTAGGTCTGTGGTGGATGTGTCAATGGTTCTCACCCAATTTATTTTAAATTATATAACATATTGTATATGCAGTCCAATATTTCACATTCTTTTTGTCATGTGGGAGGACATAAATAATACATAACAGTGCTAACAGTATCAGCTGTATAGCCTTGTTATTTGGGCAGTACATCCCATTATCTGTGCAAATACAAAGGCTTAATTCGACTCTACAGAGCAGCTAAGGCCCACAGACAGATGATCCAGCTGTGCAGCCATCGTCAGTAATCATTGCCTCACATGACCTTTGACAGGGAATGACGTTTCACTTCACTAAATGTTTTGTTTCATTGATTATTCCCTCCTTGCTTCTCTTACCTCTCTTTCCTCTTTCATCCTTTCCTCGATTTTAAATGAGAACGAGGAAAAGACACAAGGGAAAGAGGGAGGCAATTAAAGGAATTGGGATGATGCCTCAATATTTACCCATGTATAATTATCGATGTGTTGTAGTGTGTAGTGCCTTCTGCTTGTCACATACATTGTAATTTCTTGTTTCTAAAATGATAATAGAGGAAGTTTCCAATGAAAATCATTACACTAAAACAGTATCTGTGGCCTGTTCCAGATGCATTATTTTGATATGACAATCACACACTCAGATAAATCTCTTTACACTTTGTCATGTTTGTAGTTGTTCCTGTACATGTAAATGTCTGGAGTCATATGATTAAATATGAATATCAGAAAAACAAATACCTAATATTGATATGTTAATTATCTGATTTCCCATGTGTTTCGTTTCCAGAACACAAGAGTAGCTTTGGACCACTTGGAGTCAATTCCTGAAAAACAATGTCTGATGGAGAACTTCAAAGATTTGGAGGTGGGTTCACCTACAGCCCAGCTGGACTTTGTTTATTGTGTATTTAATGTTTTTAGATCAACTTCATTTTCTTTCCCTAATAAAACATGAAAATATTAAGACGCATCTAATAAATACATGCAGAGAAATAGTCCTTTCATGGTATTGGTCCGTGTTGCAGCCATTCATCATCACATTTATCCTGTTAATCAATGTGCATTCATCTCAGTGTTGTTCTTCTACTATAATAGCAGGCTTATGTTCTTTTGTTGGTTAAGGACTGTTGTGTCTTATGTCTTGTTGCATGTGATGACACAGTCTCCATTTTGTGCCTTCAGGAGTCACACCGGCAGAGGGAGATGGTCGAGCAGCGTTACACCAAATACAAAGAGATCGTCTGGAACCTGCAGCACCAGCTGGATGAGTCCAAACGCAGAATACAAGAGTACAGGGTATGATGCACACATACACAGACAGTTGCAGCTCTACTCTAGAAAAATTAGCTTTATAATGCCTTACAAGAGCTTGTACTCCCAAACAACAACCCACACTTTTTTCTATTTCGGTCACTAATTGCACTGCTTTGTTCAAACTGCAGCCGTTTGAATAAGGATAGCCTGACTTTGAGAGCCATTTATGAGTCTAGCTCGCCCACACCGGTGCCAATGTGTGCACCGCACCTAATTTGCAACTTGAATGAATAAATGAATAATTTCACATGCTGGTAATGCATGGTGGATAGACAGAGTGGGACAAGCTCGAGCAGTGGCACAAATATAGTCTCAAACAAAAGCTGAATTTTACCAGTCACTGTTAATTGCCAGTCATCTTCTGAGCTATAGAGCAGCCAAGGGAGCCATCAAGACATCATTGCTGACAGCTGATTGCCATTAGCAGTATGCAGCCTCCCCAAAACAGCCATACAGTCACTGTTTAAATGGTTTTAATCTGCCAGATTACCCCCTTGGTTTGCCAAATGACTCCCATGTTGAGTGATAAGTGGCGAAAGCATTATCTTAATAGCTGCTGCCCACTCGGGGTTTGTTTAAGGAAAAGCGATGGATGGAATGTCTTTATCAGACTTCCATCTTGATCAGAGTCAGCAGTGCCAACAACAAACAGCCTGTGCACATATAACAGTTGTTCTCTGCTTGAACCTCTAGTTTCTAAAGTTCTTTTCAGACAGGATTATTTTTTGGGTCAGTGCTTGTCCTGGACATTACAGGACATCTGTCATGTGTGTTAAATTTCAAGAGACCACAGAGACTTAGCCGACCTTGTATCAGAGTCACAAAATATTTAGAGGTATCTGCTCAGGCTGGGACACTTTTGCCTGCATGTTTACAAGCAAATAAATGTCTCTAAAAGAAGCTTGTATCATACACAGGTGCACACAGTTCACAAATCACTCACTTCCTGAATAGAATATTTTATTTTTCTGTGGAACACTTGGGATGTCCAAACAAGCATTTTGGGGACAACCAGATTTAGCCCTCAGCTCTTATTTAATGGTGCACCTAATGTGACTGTGTGTCGTCTGTGTGCTCTGTAAAGTGCAGAACTGTAAAACATACAGTATCATACTCAAACACAGCTGGATGTAGTGCACTTTTTAAATTTTACATTGTGAAATTAAGCCATGCAAGGAATGTCATTGTCCGTAGCTTGTCACCAACTCACCACTTACTGGACGGATAGTTATTAGATTTTGGCACCGGCATTTGGTCCATCTGTCACGGATGTTTGTTCATTAAATTTGTTGAATCTTTCCATCATCACATCATGAGCTGAATGTCATCAGACAGCTCAAGATGGCAGTTGCCAGCATGTACGCTGGCGCCATCCTTAGGCTAGACCCACCACTGGTAAAGATCTAAAAACAATGAAGTTTGCTCTCCCTTTATCACATATTCATTTTTTTTCTGGTGTGTAACATTACAGCCTCACAGTTGTGCTGTTACTGTGTCCACTTGTCTTCCAGGACGAGAAAATGGACACCACGTCCAGGAGCCTGAGACTGGCTGCTCTTTCTTCCTCCATCAAAGGCCCAAGCACATACCTTAGCAGCTCGATGAGGTTTGACACACTGTGTGAGTATTTATATACTGAAGCCTGTTTTTCTGCATCACTGCATTGCTAATTTCAAAATGTACACCTGTATTTTTAAACGTTTTGTACTAACTACAGCATCAAAAGTCTGAAGATGCAGTAATGATTATGAATTCATTATTTTCATTTTGCTGTACGTCAACTTCATCATTTTCAATCAAAGCAGGTATTTTTAGGGCCAGTTTTAGCTGGGTATGTGTTTCATGTAGCTGGATCCCACACTACATCATCATTGTAAAGTTTACATTATAATACATGATGAATTTCAGCATGACACCCGCTCAACTTGACTGAACTGTCCATCAATGCTCTGGATGTGTGTCTGCCTGTATCAGTGCCAGCTACTCAGAGCCAGAATCAATTGAAGCACTTTCCTAAGCTGCTTACAGATATTTGGCACTGTGTGAGCGGGGCGTACTTTTCTGTGGCTTTGTGTCTGTTTTACCTCCAAGAATTGTGGCGTCCAAAACATATTTATGGCTGTTTAACACCAGTGTTAATACACAATACAATAATCACACATATTCATGACTCCTTTGGCAATAACAGGTAGCACTATTCATTTAGGTTCTACTTTCTATTGGGAACACATATAACAATAAAAAGGAATATTTTACTCACACATTTTGGGTTGTGACTGGATGATAAACAGAGAATATAACTGTCCCTCTTTTGCCTTCCTTCCATCCTCCCTCCATCTCTCTGATGCAGCTCCTCACAAACGCCTGACCAGTTCAGATTTGGATGTCTCCGCCGTCCACGGGGCCAGACCCCTCACAGATTAGTTTCAACCTCAAGTGAACCTTTATCTGTATCTCTACAAACCCAAACACTCGGTGCTTACAACTGACTCTACCTGCCTGGTGCTCATACAGAACAAAGAGCAACTTGACTATCCTAGGAGGCCTTGCACTCAACATTAATCCTCCTCGACTACCTCAAGCAGGCAATCACCGAAGGTGCTTGACAGCAGAAGGCTAAGACGGTGAGATTTCAGAGAGATACTTTGAAGGAGGAGATATGCTTCTACACTGTAAAGGAAGATATACTGTCCAAGGCTTTAATGTTATTTATAAAGAACCTGAATTGAATGTATTTAAAGGTTTAAACCAAAATGGATTCACTGTTACATTTTTTGCCATTATTCCAACATTTTAACAGAACAGCTGTTTATATACTGTTTACCTTATGACCAATCTGTACTCCTATTATCATGCCAATGTGTTTGTGCTAATGTGATTTAGTATACAGTAACTAACAAACAGAACTATGGTGCCTGTTGAACAATATGCAGTTGTTTTGTTTTTTTTACTAACATACTGGATTGTCTATCATGGAAATGTGACAAATCTTTTGTTTTTCTTCATTTTACCAACTCTTTTAATGTATTGACTACTTTTATGACTTTTTTATTTCATGCAGTATATATTTGTAAAAAGACACAATATGCACAAAAAGGTTGTCTATTTTTTATGAAATGCGAAAGTATATGCACAAAGAATAAATCCCCATGCAGCTAAATGTCTGTTTTTATAAGCACACTTGATGTCCCCTTCATTTCAGAGTGAAGTGTTTGCTTTGTAGCAGCTGAGAGACTTCAGCTACTCCCACTAGTATATCTTTTTACCATTTTGCTAAAATCCCTCATCGGAAAGAACAACCTAAAGACACACAAAAGGAAAAAGTCCCCTTTTAATTTACTGCTCAACTTCAAAGGCGTAAACACAGTACCTGCTGTGTAAACATTTCTTAAAGTTGTACATAATCCTGTTTGAGCCGTATGTTTCAAGACTTTGTGCAGAACCTCACAAAGTTAAGGTTGTACACACTAAAGCTGTATATGCTCTTAGGGCTCATAACATCACTGAACATGCTGGCAAATATGGAGCCAGGAAACTGAAAAAAAAGTAGTACAAGGTTGGAGTCAAAAATACAACATCAATAAATAACGCTGTCAAATAAATAAAATTAGTGTACATTGAAATAAAACTTCCATTAAATGGTTTCATGACTATCTCTCAGATAGAACCCAGACTGGTTGCTTAGGTTTCATGTCAAGTCCCCTGTATGTTAGTAGTATTCTTGGTCCTTTTTTATTTACTATATACATTAACAATATCATCACTGCCACCCCAAACTAATATTCACATTTATGCAGATGACATTATTTTATATAGTAAGGCATAAAAATGTCATAACGTTGTAGTATAGTAAGGAATTTAAAAAAATTTTTTTTTAAAAAATCAAATGTCAAACTATAGTAAGGCATGAAATGTCATAAAAACGTCATAGTATAGTAAGGCATAAAAATGTAGCATATTAAGGCATAAAAACAGCGAAAAAATTTAGTATATTAAGGCATAAAAACGTCAAAAAACGTCAGTGCAATAAGGCATAAAAATGTCATAGTATAGTAAGGCATAAAATGTCATAACGTAGTATAGAAAGGAATAAAAAAAAAAATCAACAAACGTCAAACTATAGTAAGGCATAAAAATGTCATAATATAGTAAGGCATAAAATCTCAAAAATTTCATAGTACAGTAAGGCATGAAAATGTTAAAAAAAAAAACGTCAGTATAATATTGCATAAAAACGTCAGAATAGTAAGGTGTAAAAAGTGATAGTATAGTAAGGCATTAAAAAACGTCCAAAACATCATAGTATAGTGAGGCAAATAAAATTTCATAGTAAAGTAATTCTGTCTTCTTATATATAATAATAATAATAACAATAACAATAACATATATAAATATAATATTGGTCATATTGGTAGGGAAATGTCCCTGTACTGTCCAAATGCAAACCTACACACTTGATCAGATGGGTGTATCCATATACATACTCAGAGCAGGCTGTGTGTGTGTCTGTCATAGGCTGCTTTGGAGGGGAAATTTCAGTCTAGACGAGTTAATTGGGTATGACTTGATCAAATGGAGACAAAAGCCATGTCTCCAATTGGAAAAAAGATGAATGAATGCTGGAAATATCAATAATGTTCCAAAAGGGGACCTAGAAGACATTGTGTGCGTTTGTCTGTGTCTAATGGAGGCAATGGAGGAGACTCCATGGCTAGCTTGAACAACACTGAAGCAAGACATGAAGCAGCAGCCTATGCAGCTAGTAACCTAGCTTAACTGACTTTTCTCATAAAACTCTACCAGCTAGTGCACATAATGTTGATGATCCATATACTGTACTGCAAACTGCTGCAACATCACTGTCTTAACAGTAGTTACAACATTTTAGCTAAACATTAAACAAAGCTAAGAATGTTGCTAGCCAACACTGAGTTTTTAGTGTAGTTTGACATTATAAGGAAACATTAAATTCATTTTCAAAATGTTAAATGAATATGAAAATGACATGCAGTATAGTAAATTCACTAGTTTTATGAAGAAAGCTAACTTTAGCTGAGTAGCTATCTGAAAAGTCTCTCTCTCTCTCACACACACACACACACACACACACACACACACACACACACACACACACACACACACGGAGGGAGGGAGGGAGGGAGGGAGAGAGAGAGAGAGAGAGAGAGAAAGAGAGAGAGAGAGAAAGAAAGAAAGAAAGAGAGAGAGACTTCTGAATATAGACTGCCTGCTGTCTTTTTAGTGCCTTTGTTTCCGTGCTCTTGATGACACTCCCAAAAGGATCAATTATGTCACTTGGTAATAATTTCAGGTTTACTCACTGCAATCATGCTTCTCCTGAGTGGCATTTTAGCTTTTCAATCTGAAAATAAACATACAAATTTATCAAGCTAAACTTCTCAAAAGAAATATGCTTCATGCACCCTTTCCCAAATCCGAGCTTGTGGAGTTTTGGAGCTTTGTGTGTGCCAGCTGTACAACGCAAATCCTCTTCTTTAAAAGCTTATGCAGGTGTCTTTTGTACAGCAGCCTGTAATATTCAAAGAGAAGAAAAAAAAAAAAAAAACTTAAATCGACAGCTAAGTAGTCTTCCTCCCTCATAAAAATGAAAGCTTAGGAGAGTTTTGGCATTTTTGAGCACACGTCAGTACTAATGTACCGTCTCATCCTCTGAAGAAGCAGCACTGTTATCTCTTTGACATCATTTTCAAGAAGTTTCCATTTTTAAAAAGAAGAAGTTTTGTTAGACATAATAAAAGGCAGAAGAAGGTGTTCCACACAGTCCAGACGATTACCGGTCCAGTCTGACAAAATGTGTCTGTGTTTTATGAAGCAGCATCCAGAGGAAAGCAAAGCTCAACCAAGCTTAGAGCAAAAATGAGCTGCGAAGCTGTACTAAGCCTTCGCTCAATCCCTGTTTCCCCTTTAAGTACTAGTTCTAAGTACATCTGGAAAGCTGGGGTCCAGAGAAAAAAAACTTACTGTATTACAACACTGACTGACTGCACTTGTTTGATGACTTCTTAAACTTTAATACTTAAGATTTTACATTTAATCTATTGACTTATGGTAGCCGGTTCAGATGGGAGTTCCGTTTAGCACTACACAGAGGGATCAGGTCCCAACCATTTCAGAAATTTTTGCATTTACCAGAAGACTATAAAATTGAAAATTCAGCATTGTTTTTGCTTTGTAACTCCTATCAGATTAGAGCAGAGTCTCAGTAATATATTTGTTCCCATAAGGGCTCAAACCTATCCTCAGATTTAAATTTGAAGATCACGAGCAGTCAAAGTTTTGATTTCTCTCTCATTCATCATAGTTTTCATATAGTCACATTTGTTTAAATAAATCACTTTTGGCAGGCTCTGTCACTTTGTCTCTCACACACACACACACTCACACACACACACACTTCTTTATACTGTAACTACCTCCCTAAGAAAGTGTCTGCTTATCTAAGCTATATTAGGTTGCAAAACACATGCAAACTCATAGATCAGCCCTGCTGCTCCCTGCAGACTAGTTTCCCCATTTACATTCTGCCCCATCATTAGTCCAGCTTTACTCCACTTTGTCAGGTTGAGAGATGGTAATGAATAAATTCAGAGCTTTCCACTGGTTCGTGTTTGTATTTTCCAGCATTGGAAAATACATCCCCTATGTAAAAAAGAAAAAAAAAAGAAAAAGCAGTCTGTAATCTGCATTTGCACAAGCATGAGAAACTTAACACACATCTGTCTGAGCTTGTCAAAATAAATTGCAGCGTGACAGTCAAAGTTATTTAAAATGTGCCAGTGGTATTCAGATCTATACACAAGGACTCGCAGAATGATTATTCCGCCTGTATGAACGCAGAAAGGCTGAGGGATCAGGTCATTAGCAGGATGATGCATGTTCAGAGTTGACAGTCAATGCACACAAATGTGCACAAACATATTCACACACACAGAAACATCCTTTCTCAGAGCTGAAGTACATGTATTGTTACATGACTAACATAAGAAGATTTGCATGTATTGCTTACCCTCAGCTGTGCTGTGCCTTCAGTGTCTCTCAGCTCAACTCTGCTAACTACTATGACCTTTGCACCAGCGGTGTCCCTCAGGTGTGTTGCATCAGTGGCTAATTACAGCTCCCATATTTCTGCCTTATTTCTGCCTCCACCCCACTACAATGAAAGCTAACAGGATTTAGTCTGTGGTGCTCACAGCACTGAAAAATTACATTTAAAAAAAAAAAAAGTCACTTTGGATAAATGTGCACCCACGTACTCATGCAGAATAGACTGTTACTTTAGTAGAAGTACATCCAGTGAAAAGTTTTGACAGTGTGTTCTGTGGATTATTCAGTGTAACATTGAGCTTTCAAGGCTCAGTGTTGACCTTGGAAATATCATTTTGGCTAAAAAAGTTCTCAACAAAAGGTCAATTTCCTTGGTGTTTCTGAAGCTCTCAGCCACATCTCATGGCCTTCTTCAAAGATTGTGTTGCTCAGTTGCCATGGACATTGTCTACTTGTTATCAAGTGACCTATGCTTGGAATTTTGCTCACATGATAACAGGTAGTCATATCTGGGGGAGATTGTAACCCCTGGCTCTGTTCAAGGATGGTCTCTGGTGCTGAATGTGAATGGTTTCCTTGATCTTTTACTGACCCTGCACTGACTCCTGGTCGATGTCTACGACTTTGACCCTTTCCTTTGTCGATACTGTGACCATTTCCATGACAACTAAGCAACTCCATCCGCTGAGAAAAGCCCTGGAATGTAGATAAAAACTTTGGAAATACCAAATAAGTCGACCTTGTGTGGAGAATTTCTTTTCTAACTTGGGACATTGTTTTTGACACACTGCTGTTGTATTTCTGAAATTAAATTTTTCAATCCTCCATTGTACTGTGGCTGCAGAAGAAATTTCTGACACACATCTTAAAACGTGGGCAAATATGCAAAAATGTGACTATATTCTAATAGGGAGAAATAAAGAAATAAAAAAAATAAAAATAAAGATAATTTAACTTCAGAATATTTTGTACACACCTCCAAAGGGAATTCAGAATATTGGGTCAATGTTTAGCTCACGGGCACTATGGCAGGATGGGTAATTTTAAAGCCCTGTCACA